CCAGGCTGGTCTTGAACTCCTGACTTCAAATAATCCACCCACCTTGGCTTCCCAAGATACTTCGATTACAGGTGTGTGCCACCTTGCCTGGCCAAATTATTAGATTTTCAAAGAGTATAAAATGTTTTGAAAATTCTGAAGTTCTGAATAGCTTGTCTGTGAAATATGAAAATTGATACATTTCATCACCTCTATGTACCATACCTTGTGCCTAGAGTTGTCACATACATCGTTTAACCCTCACACTAAAATCATTTCCATTTTACATATGATAATCACTTTAACTGCTCCAGTATCTTCCCTCAGACATTCTAAAACAATGCAAGATACTAACACATAAAATTCAAGATACATTGTAAAACAGGATATGTCCAAAGTTCTCATCATATGTAATAGCAAAATATTAGAAATAACCTGTGTTTATGAACGCAAGATTGAAAATATACAGCTGTAATAAAGAACGAGGAATGTCTGTATAGATATGGAACAATATACAAGGTAGGATAATACATGGGGCAAACAAGTTGTAGAAGAAATGCTACCTTGTATGGAATCAATAGTATGCCTCCGGTTGTGGTTGGAGAGGGAGAGTGTATATATGCTTGCATGTATGTACACAAAATAATTTTTGGAAGAAAATACAATAAATTGATAATATAGGTTGCTTCTGAGGAATGGCTAGGGGATTCCAGGTAGGGAGATTATCCACTGTGTACCTTTTTGTGCCTTTTGAATTTTGAGCCAACTGCATTTACTATCTATTAAAAGAGATGCAAACCCAATTAAAATAAAAGAAACAAAGTATACTTTTCTAGAAATGAAAACAAAGACAAAAAGGTGCTCTGGGCTGTGTGCATTTTGTGAGGACATGGGCTGTCCCTGCCGATCCCCGCAGCACCCCAGAGCCTAGCATAGAATACACCTGAGCATTTGTGCAGTCAGTGAGCCAAGCTAAAAAACCACTCGAATTCCTCTATAGGAAGGACACAACATCTCTTCTGTGGTGTCCCTGCTAAAAATATGTATCCTGAATCTAAGCATGAAGAAACATCAGACAAACTTAAATTGAGGAACATTCTGAAAAATAAATGGCCTGTGCATTTCACAAATGTCAAGGTTATGGCAGACAGACCAAGAAAGAGCAGGGAACCCTTTGGGATTGAAGGAGGCTGAAGGGCGGGACAACTCAGCGTGCTGTGTGCAATACCAGATTGCATCCCAGGCCGGAAGAAAGAATGTTGTATTCTTTAAAGGACATTCATTAGAGTTGACAATACTTGAATAAGGTCTGTGAATGAGGTAATAGTACTGTTTCAGTGTCAACATTATCATTTTGATAATAGTACTGTGGTTATAAGAAAATCTTCTTGGTTGGGCGCAGTGGCTCACACCTGTAATCCCAGCACTTTGGGAGGCCAAGGCAGATGGATCACCTGAGGTCAGGAGTTCAAGAGCAGCCTGACCAACATGGTGAAATCCCATCTCTACTAAAAATGCAAAAAATTAGCTGGGTGTGGTGGCAGGTGCCTATAATCTCAGCTACTTGGGAGGCTGAGGCAGGAGAGTTGCTTGAACCTGGGAGGTTGAGGTTGTGTGAGCCAAGATCATACCATTACACTCCAGCCTGGGTGACAGAATGACTCCATCTAAAAAAAAAAAAGAAAAGCTCTTTTTTTTTTAGGAATCAGGCACTTAGGAATTTTAGAGTAAAGGGGCATTGTGTTGGCAACTTACTCTCAAAGGGTTCAGGTGAAAATAAAAGAAAAAAGGGGGAATAATAAAGTAAACATGGCAAAATATTAACATTCAGAGAATTTGAGTGAAGAAATACAGGAATTCTTTGTACTATTTTGACAACTTTCATGTCTGAAGTTATTTCAAAATAAACAACTTTTTAAAAAGTTTCCTATACAGAACATGTTATGACTTATTTTATTTATTTATTTATTAAAGCAGGGTCTCTCTGTGTTGCCCTAGCTGGCTTTGAACTCCTGAGCTCAAGGGATCCTCTGCCTCAGTCTCTTAAGCAGCTGAGACCACAGCTGTGCATGACCATGGCTGGCTCTGATTTTGTTATTACTGAGCCTTTAATGTCCTTTATACAGTTTTTTTAATTTTCTTCATATAGATCTTTAGATGATTGGTAACAACTAGCTTTCTTTCTCTTTCTCTTTCTTTTCTTTCTTTCTTTCTTTCTTTCTTTCTTTCTTTCTTTCTTTCTTTTTCTTTCTTTCTTCTTTCTTTCTTTCTTTCTTTCTTTCTTTCTTTCTTTCTTTCTTTCTTTCTTTCTTTCTTTCCTCTCTCTCTCTCTCTCTTTCTTTCTTCATTTTTCTTTTCTGAGACAGTCTCACTCTGTCACCCGAGGTGGCGTGCAATGGCGTGATCATCTCAGCTCACTGTAACCTCCACCTCCAGGCGCAAGCGATCCTTTTACCTCAGACTCACAGCTACTTGAGTAGCTGGGGCCACAGGTGCACACCACCACACCTGGCTAATTTTTGTATTTTTGGTAGAGATGGGTTTCACCGTTTAGCCCAGGCTGATCTTGTACTCCTGGCCTCAAGTGATCCGTCCTCCTTGGCCTCCCAAAGTGCTGGGATGATGGGTGTGAGCCACTGTGCCCAGCTTATTCCTTTCTTAATACTTTTTGTTTCTTTAAATAATGGCTTGATTGAGATATAATTTACATACCATATGAAACTCACCCTGAATATCTTTGTGTATATTTTTAAATACTGCTGGTATATGAGGAAGGTATGCTTTAAAAAAAAATCAACTTTATTAGGGTATAATTTAAATGTAATAAAATTCACTTCTTAATTTAATAGGTTGATGACTTTTCACACACATATTCCTTATGTAATTACTACTCCAATTCAGATACGAGATACAGGATATTCCCATTTCTCCATAAAGTTCCTTTGTGCTTTCTTTTTACATTCACCAGTTGGACGTGTCATTCTTTCAAGTCCCCCCAAATGGGGATTGGAAGAGTAGGGTGCATGCAGGGTGAATGAGTGTGGTGGGGGCGCTGTAGGGTGGGGATGAGAATGATAATGTTGAGGCGAAGCAGGACCAGGCACCTGGATGGCTCAGAAGAGGGACATGGCATCCTCTGTTTTCCAGAGATGAGCACAGACTTTGGCAGTTTGTATACCTTCTCTTTTTCTTCTTTGGTCTTTATTCTGGTGTTGTGGGTGCTGCCCTGTTAACACAGCAAATGTCAAGTGGACTTTTAAAATACCAACATTTTATCATCATCAAAAGGAAAGACTGACTACCTTAAGCCTATTTGGGGAAGGAATAAGGCTTTAACATGCAGATATTGTGCACGTTGAAGTTTAGTAAGGCTTTTGATTTGGCCGCTAATTACCCCAGCACTGACCGTGTGAGAAAAAAAATGTGTATTTGCATTCACCGAATTTTTTACATGGAAAATGTAGCTCCCTCCACTTGCCACTTTTCCCTCATTTTGAGACTTATTGTTTAGCTGTTCATTCTGAGTAAAGGTGGTATGGGAAGTTAGTGTCCACAAGGAAAGAGCCCGCATTTGGCATCTGAGAAACTCATTCTCCTCATGAGAACTAAGATAATCTTCAGTATTTTTAATGAGGATTGCATTATACAAACATACACATATATGTATACACAAATGTATATGCAAAATATATAATTTTATAAGATATATATACACACACACACACCCAATAAGTGTTTAGAACATAGTAAGCATGTAATACATTATATCATTACTGTTATTATTACTTTTTGAGATGGAGTCTCTCTCTGTCACCCCAGGCTGGAGTATAGTGGCTCGATCTTGGCTCACTGCAACCTCCGCCGCCCAGGTTCAAGTGATTCTTCTGCCTCAGTCTCCCAAGTAGCTGGGATTACAGGTGCCCACCACCATACTCGGCTAATTTTTTTTGTAGTTTTAGTAGAGACGGGGTTTCACTGTGTTGGTCAGGCTAGTCTTGAACTCCTGACATCGTGATCCACCCGCCTCGGCCTCCCAAAGTCCTGCGATTACAGGCGTGAGCCACTGTACCTGGCCTGTTGTTATTTATTTATTTATTTTTGAGACAGAGTTTCGCTCTTGTTACCCAGGCTGGAGTGCAATGGCATGATCTCGGCTCACCACAACCTCTGTCTCCTGGGTTCAAGCAATTCTCCTGCCTCAGCCTCCCGAGTAGCTGGGACTACAGGCATGCACCACCATGCCCAGCTAATTTTTTGTATTTTTAGTAGAGACGGGGTTTCACCATGTTGACCAGGTTGGTCTCAATCTCTTGTCCTCGTGATCCACCCACCTCGGCCTCCCAAAGTGCTGGGATTACAGGCTTGAGCCACCGTGCCCGGCCGTTATTTTTTTTTTAATTTCTTTTTTTTTAAATAGAGATGGGGTCTCACCATGTTGACCAGACTGGTTTCAAACTCCCGGCCTCAAGCAATCCTCTTATTTCGGCCTCCCAATGAGCTGGGATTGTGTGAGTGTGATGGCTCATGCCTATGATCCCAGCACTTTGGGAGGCCAAGGCAGGCAGGTCACTTGAGCTTAGGAGTCTGAGACCAGCCTGGCCAATGTGGTGAAACCACGTCTCTACCAAAAATACAAAAAATTAGCTGGGCATGGTTGCTCGTGCCTGTAGTCCCAGCTACTTGGGAGGCTGAGGCAGAATAATCGATTGAACCTGGGAAGCAGCGGTTGCAGTGAGCCTAGATCTTGCCACTACACTCCAGCCCGGTGACAGAGTGAGACTCCATCTCGAAAACAAAAACAACCCGCTTCCCCCAAAACCCCCAGAGAGCTGTGATTATAGGCTTGAGTCACTGTACCTGGCCTATATTGTTATTACAAATAATTTCTTCATTTTTACTTTTTTTGCACAGGTGTGTTGCTTTTCGACAAAGCTTTCTTTTACTCTTTGTGATTGAAACTGTAATCTATTAAAATGTATTTATCTACTGAAAGTCTTGGTTCCTTTTCTGTGTTTTCTCAGGCACGCTGCAGACAGACCTTTCTGTCCTCATGAACACACATGTGGTAGACAGATGACTGGGCTCCACCTGGTGCTGCTCTAGGTGTGCCAGACGTGGAGCTGTCCAGCTGGGAGAAGATGGATTCCAAAGATGAAAGCTCGCATGTGTGGCCTTCGCCTGCAGACCATGAACAGAATGCTACACAGGTGAAGACTGGTCTTTTCCAGCTTGGTATCAACAGGTTTTCAGCTGGACACAGTTTGCTACAGTAAAGAAATACAGCTAATACCTAGTAATGAATAGTTGGGAGGAGCTGACGTGAAGCACTCATACACAAGGAATAGGAACTCTTTTGGCACCTTGAATGCTCCATTGACATGGCTCACCATGAGTTAGGAGAGCTGGACCACCACCTACAGGCTTCTCTGTCTTGTCGGCAATTTACAAAAATTTTACAAAACTCTGTTTTACAACCCTGCTTTATTTATGTTATTGGTGCTGAAAACCCCAAACTATAGTTTGTTTCTTTTTTTCTTTTTTAACGGAGTTTTGCTCTTGTTGCCCAAGCTGGAGGGCAATGGTGTGATCTCAGCTCACTGTAACCTCCGCCTCCCAGGTTCAAGTGATTCTCCTGCCTCAGCCTCCTGAGTATCTGGGATTACAAGCATGTGCCACCACGCCTGGCTAATTTGGTATTTTTAGTAGAGACAGAGTTTCTACATGTTGGTCAGGCTGGTCTTGGGCTCCCAAAGTGCTGGGATCACAGGCATGAGCCACTGCACCCAGCCTGTTTCTTTTATGATATCCATAGGATTTGGGTCTTATGTGTGTAATGAGTACAGATATGTCTGTAAAGTGAGTGGCCTTTTCTTTTCTTTTTAAATTCAGAACGTAAGCCTCTAAGTGAAAGTTGTTCCATTATGAGTCAGCCGTTTAGAGGTTAGTCACTTAATCAAATGCTGCTGTCATCGATGATCACTGCCTTTCAGGTTGCTGCTAGAACCAGCCACATGTTATTTTGACTATTCTTAGTGAAGGCAAATCTCTGCATTTTTGGTATGGAATTGAATGTTGGGATGATCAGCAGTCATATGGAGCCATGTTTTATATGTGACTGAGTATAAAACTTAATTTTTAAACATTAAATATGCAAATTTAATGTTTTATTAGATTACATAACCACAGTATTAGTGTCAAAATCAAGAAGTTACACTGAAACATTTAAGTATGCAGATTCTATTTAATATCAGCAGTATAATCATACAATAAATAAAATTGGTCCTCTGGTATGATTAAAAAGTCTCAGTATGGGCCGAATATGGTGGCCCATGCCTTTCCCTGAAGTTTGGGAGGCCAAGGCAGGAGAATCGATTCAGGCCAGGATTTTGAGACCAGCCTGGGCAACAAAGCGAGGCCCTGATTCTAGACACACACACACACACACACACACACACACACACACAGTCATAGCTCCAGGAAGTGGCGGCTGCAGTGAACCATAACTGCACTACTACACTCTAGCCTGGGTGACACAATGAGGCCCTGTCTCTAAAAATAAAAATAAGTAAAGTCTTAGGCTGATTGCTTAAAAATAAAAAAGTTCCACAGATATTTTCAGCAGAGTAAATGAGAATTTTGTTTTGTTTCCCCTGGAAACCATTTTGAGGCTACTTCCTTGCAGCTATGTATTTTAGTATATTTTGTTTATAAACAAAATTGTAGTTCTTCGAAAAGCAAAACAAAAGAAAATCTGCTTGTGATGCTGCATGACCAGGGCCCTGTCTGTGGGTAATGAGACAGTAGATAGCCAAGGTCAGGGTCCCTGTGGCACTCATTCCTCCCAAATGGTTCTGCCAACCGGGAATTCTGATTTAATGAGTGATGAAGACCAAGCTTGGATAGCTTGTCTGAAGGAAACATGTTTTCCCTTTTTAAGCACTGAAACTAGTTCAAGGCTTTGATGTTAATGAACAAATCTAAAGTCATAAAATTATCTTATAGCAATTAAGACTGTTCAAATATGAGCCTACTTTTTCTAATGGACAAACTTTATTTTCTTGGACAAATCAAATTTATGTAGAAGCCAGACTAATCATTTAGTGTAGATGTGGAAGTTTGTTGTATTTCTGTGGTGTTTGATTACATTTTGCCTCTTAGGTTTCCTTCCGGGGATTAAATTAGTACGTATTATCTTTGGGATCTACTATCCTTCACTGGGGAAAACTGACATAAAGAAGTCAGGCCCAAAGCCAAGGCAGTATAAGAGCAAGGATCCCACTCTAAGAGTGTCTGACTTCGACAGCAACACGTAAATTATCCTCCCAAATGTGTGCTTTGGCCATCTGCTTCCAGACCTTCAATAGCAGACATCAGGCCATGTGCCAAGCTCGAGCCGTCAGTAATTCAGTCCTCCAAACTTGACCACTCAGAAAATATTTTACAAAACTCGCTATCTGTTTTAGTTCCTTAAGTCCTGGGAGAAAATTGTTTACCCCAGTGACAGCTGAAATAGTTGTCCAGAACCCCTTAAAAGTACTTATGTGTCTTCACCTACCTGGCAAGGAAGAGTTCTAGTCTGTTCATTGATTCAGCAAGCATTTACTGATACACCTCCAGTATGTCTTTTGTATACAAAACAACTTGCAGGAAAGAAAGTGACCTTATTTATTTATTTTTTGAGACAGAGTTTCACTCTTGTCACCCAGGCTGGAGTGCAATGGTGCGATCTCAACTTACTGCAACCTCCGCTTCCTGGGTTCAAGCAATTCTCTTGTTTCCGCCTCCCAAGTAACTGGGATTACAGGCTAATTTTTACATTTGTTTAGTACAGATGGAGTTTCACCACGTTGGCCAAGCTGGTCCTGAACTCCTGACCTCAGATAATTCACCTGCCTCGGTCTCCCAAAGTCCTGGGATTATAGGCATGAGCTACCGCACCTGACCAAAAGTGACTTTATTTTAAGGTGTTCACTGAAAGGCACTATTAGTTGTAAAGTAGAATTCTTACAATGTGTTGAGAGCAATTGGCTTTTGAGTCTTGACATATTTTTTCACATTGCAAAGTAATTGTATTTTTTATTCTGGTACTGTTGTCAAGCAGGAATCCTCAGTGTCATTTCCAGGATCAATTAAGCACGCCCTTATTACTCCTCAAAAGAGTTATCTGCATTAGACATTTGAGGCAACGGGGAATATAAGTTGGTTGCCTAACATTTAGCAGTAAATCAATGACCAGGTCCTTGGGTTCTCCTCTAGTCACCAGCTCACTGAACATGAAGGTGTATCTATCCCCATTCTCCTTTCATCGGGAATTAGAAGCCCAGGTGTGCTTGTTGATCACTTACCTTGTGAGACTGACTTGGTTCTACGTCCTTGCCTGCTTTTTACACCAGGTGCACTTTGTTCCGGACACAGGAACAGTGGCTCAGATCATCTACACTGATGACCAGGTTCGCCCACCCCAGCAGGTGGTGTACACGGCAGATGGTGCCTCCTACACATCAGTGGATGGTCCAGAGCACACGCTGGTGTACATCCATCCGGTGGAAGCCGCGCAGGCATGTGAAAGATTATTTGTTTATAATTCGTTAAGTAACTAATTAGCCAATTACTTGTGTTTACTTTCTGTCAGTCATTGTGCTAGGTACTGGTGTGCAGAACATATTCAGATAAGATTTGTGCTCTCAAGGAGCTTGTAACCCCAACTTGGCAGAGGAAGATGTGATTTGTGTCTCCACACTAAATGCAATACGGAGTTAGAGCATGGGTTTGCGTATAGCTCTTCTTTCTGGTGACTGTTGACTAGGTAATGAGTTTGTTATTATACCTAAGCATCAAGAACCAGGCCAAAATGGTTTGATTCTTTCAGCTAAATGTGTAAGAAAGGGTCCTGCTAAGCTCATCAAGTACCACTTCTTAGTAACTTACTGATTTGCAAGCCTGTAATAGAAGCAAAGGTGTTTACTGGTAAAAGCCTTACAATTACATCTGCTTTTATTTTTTGCCAGTGACTTGCAGTATAGCTTCCAAATGAGTGACACCAATATCCCCCAACATGTAAATGTTAATTTACATTATTAGCACTTTACAACGTATAAAGTACTTTGAAATGGATAGCTTTACATCTATACTTTTATAGTAGCATTTTGGTAATAAAAATTTGCCCTTATTTGATATTTCATAAAGAGGCTCAGCTCACTTCCAAAAAGAAGTGAGGCTTGCCTAATCAGTGCCTTTCAAATCTACATATAGAATCACTGAATACTTAGTGGTACTTTTGGAATATCTCTGCTTAAGTTTCAGTCCCCTGCCTATATTGAAAAAGATTAGTTTATGTAAGAATGTCCTTTGAGCAACTTTTACTTTGTTGCAGTGTTACTAAATGTCTGAGTTTGGATAATTTTTATTTTATTACTTATTTTTATTTTTTTGAGACAGAGTCTTGCTGTGTCTCCTAGGCTGGAGTACAGTACTGCAATCTCAGCTCACTGCAACCTCTACCTCCTGGGTTCAAGTGATTCTTCTGTCTCAGCCTCCCAAGCAGCTGAGACTACAGGCGCCCACCACCACAATAATTTTTGTATTTTTAATAGAGATGGGATTTTGCCATGTTGGCCAGACTGGTCTCGAACTCCTGACCTCAGGTGATCCTCCTGCCTTGGCCTCCCAAAGTGCTGGGATTACAGGCATGAGTCATTGCACCCGGCCAGATTTTTAAAAACTTTAGAAGAAAGGACATTTTTCTGGATTAGAGATATTAATTAACTGTGGTGCCCTGGCTATAATAGTTTTTAAGCATTTTCTCTAGTTAGCTTTGCTGCATCATGACCCAACTTACTGCATCTTTCTGATGATTAGTATTTTTCTTTTAATTATGACTTTACTGACTATCCAAAAAGGAACCCATGGAACGTTCAGTTCAATTTATTTTCCTTCTCTTCTGATAACAAACATGCACTTACATTTGAAATAGCTGTAATCCTTGGGTATGTAATCCTCTTCTGTATACCTGTCTGTCTCCATCAATTTTCATTTAATCACAAGTCTACTCCTGTGAGTAGTGTTATATGTGAACGTGTAAACCCTTGTTCATGTCATGTCTCTTTTGTTTTCATGAGATGCCTTTTTAACTGTGACATTCAACCCCAAGAGGGGCTTTGCTTCAGAGTAAAATTGTGAAGTAGGTTAGCCATCGGGATTGTTAGCTTATGCGGTCTCTTTGGAGCCATCTGAATGAAAGGCTTTCACTAAATTTAAGATTACTATCTTTATTTTCTTTATTAAAGAAAGATTGTTACTAGCTAAAATGGGAGTTAACTTTTCTAAAAATCGGTACTTAGTTTAGCAGTAGAATAATCTTTCTGTGTAGGCAGGCTAGCTAAAGATCTACTGATAATTTTTTTTTTTTTTTTTTTAGACTCTGTTTACAGACCCAGGCCAGGTAGCTTACGTCCAGCAGGATGCTACAGCTCAGCAGGTAATGAATTGCCTTTTTTTTTTTGTTTGGGGATAACTGTGAATGCCACTGTGGCCTGGAATGTCCCCATCCCTTTGCACTGTGCCATCTCTGGATGTTTGTTTCTTATGTACGAAGAATGTTCTCCAGCTCCTTTAATGAAAACAAAACAAAATGTTACATAATACTAACATACTTCAGTAAGTATATATTGGAATAATCTGGTAGCAGAAAGTGATTTATCAGATACATTTTTTAAAATAAGAATATAAACAGGGTATTGGTTCAAGTACCAAAGAATAATCATGAGGTTTAAAAGTGCCTTTTTTTTTTGAAATTGGGATAGTTTTTGTACTTGCTCTATTTTTAGAAAAATGCTGAAAAAAATCCTGCTTAAATCACATATAAATTTGGTCCAATTTTCCTCATGCCAGCTTCTGAAAAGTTGAGTTCTTCTTGGTTTTCTTTTAAAACACTTCTTTACCATTACTTGCATTCCTAATACATTCTATTTGGCTTTGACGACTTCCTCCTTACTTTCTGCAAGAATGTGAAAGTGATAAAGAAGGTGTGGGAGCAGCTGAGCACAGAGGCTTATGCCTGTAATCCAGCACTTTGGGAAGCTAAAGTGGGAGAACTGTTTGAGACCAGACTGGGCAACATAGTGAGACCCCATCTCTGCAAAAATTTAAAAATTAGCCTGTGCACTCCTGTGGTCCCAGACACTTAGGAGGCTGAGGTGGGAGGATCCCTTAAACCCGGAAGTTTGAGGCTGCAGTGAGCTTTGATTGCACCACTGCACTTCAGCGTGGGTGGCAGAGTAAGACCTTGTCTCAAAAAACCAAATAAGTTTACTTTCATGTCAGGTAATGTGGCTGTAATTTGTCTGTATTACTGAGTGCCATGACTTACTAATAATTAAATTATTCTCATTAAGAAGCACTTTCTGGCTGGGAGTGGTGGCTCACGAGTGTAATCCCAGCACTTGCTGAGGCCAAGGCAGACAGAACACTTGATTGAGGTCAGGTGTTCGAGACCTGTCTGGCCAACATGAAACCCTGTCTCTACTAAAAATACAAAAAAATTAGCCGGGCATGGTGGCAGGCACCTGTAATCCCAGCTACTTGGGAGGCTGAGGCACAAGAATCACTTGAACCTGGGAGGTGGAAGTTGTAGTGAGCCAAGATCGTGCCACTGCACTCCAGCCTGGCTGGAGACTCTGTCTCAAAAAAAAAATTTTAAGTTAAATTTTAAAAGAAGCACTTTCTGCTTTTTTATTTCTTGGTAGAAGATTTGTATGCTTCTATTTTAAAATTTAGAAAATGAACACTAGTTATATTAATATCATCTGAAATATAGAGAGGGTTGTTAGGAACCTCTGTTATATAAATTGGAGTTAAATTCATTCATAACTGGCAGTGAACTGTTAATATAGTGGGGTCTTTGAACTTAAATGAGAATTATTCTTTATTTTAATAATTTTTTGTAGTAATTAGGTATATTCTTGACCAAAACCTTATTTCTGTAAATATTCATTGATTCTATCAAGCAATGGATCATATATATATATATGGATTATATACATATATATATAATCCTGTATTACAGAGTGCCATGACTGATTAATAATTAAATATATATTAGGATATACTATTGTATATATTCTTCATTTATTATTTTACATGTAGATTACTTCCTTTTTCTTTTTTGCTATTATAGAAAATGCTGTCACGGATATTGTATCAGATTATTTCCTTAGGATAAATACCCCAAAGATAAATGGTAGAGACAGAAGTTATTTATATTTTAAGTTAAGAACCAAGCTTTTTGTAAAAGTGAAAAAAGATACAAATATAAAAATCAAACCAATGAAATAAAAACCCAGAATCCTAAATTTGAATTGGAATATGAACACGGACTTGAAATATGCTTTCTCTTAAAAAACGTGTTTTCTGGCCAGGCGCCTGTCATGCCAGCACTTTGGGAGGCCGAGGTGGTGGATCACCTGAGGTCAGGAGTTCAAGACTAGCCTGGCCAGCATGGTGAAACCCTGTCTCTACTAAAAAAAAATTAACAAATTAGGCAGGCATGGTGGCAAATGCCTGTAATTCCAGCTACTCTGGAGGCTGAGTTGGGAGAATCACTTGAGCCTGGGAGGCAGAGATTGCATTGAGCTGAGATTGTGCCACTGTACTCCAGCCTGGGTGACAGAGCAAGACTCTGTCTCAAAAAAAAAGCAAAAAAAAGGCGGGTGTGATGGCTCACGCCTGTAATCCTAGCACTTTGGGAGGCTAAGGCAGGTGGATCACCTGAGGTCAGGCGTTCGAGACTATCCTGGCCAATATGGTAAAACCCCCATCTCTACTAAAAATACAAAAATTAGCCGGGCATGGTGGCTCATGCCTATAATCCCAGCTACTTGGGATACTGAGGCAGGAGAATCGCTTGAACCCAGGAGGTGGAGGTTGCAGTGAGCTGACATTGGGCTGCTGTACTTCAGCCTGGGTAACAGAGTGAGACTGTGTCTCAAAAACAAAACAAAAAATGAAAAAAAAACGTGTGTTTTCTAGTTCTGGCCATTGAAGTAGTTTAGACACAGTGATCAGCCCAGTAGCAGTGAGTATCCCTAATGCTACGATGTGCTCTCTTAAATACAATTCACCAGCAAAAGGAATTAGGGCTTCTTGGAGAAATGGCAGATTCCAACTCCGGGGCAGGGAATGTACCGATGAACTTGGAGCATCGTGTCGTCTTTGAATGCAGGGCTGCTATTAAAAACTTCTGGTTTCCTATGGCAAGAACTTGAAGGGGACAAAATGGGTCAAATTGACTTGTAAAAAAGGATAACATCTGCAATAGATTGAAGTACTTACATATACGTAGTCTACAAGTTCATACTGATGCTAAAAGAAGTAACTCATTGGTCACTTTTTGAGGATGCTAGAATTTACATTATTCTAAAAACTGGTAAATGGAGAAAAAGAATCCTGCCTTTCTCCTTGAAGGTACTCAGGTAACCAATTGCTTCCTGAGGGAATTTTCTTTATAGAAACATTCTTACTAATAAACAAAGAGGGGATGATTGACTTAGAATATCACCATTTTGCAGCCCCTAATGACACAATTTAGGCAATGATTATCAACGGTAGTCTGAAACCATCAGGAAAAAGCTAGGGAATAGTATAATGGATAGATCCGAGTTTTAACAACTTAATCTTCTGACCATTCTTAATGTCACCAACAGAGACACAGCCATTCATGATATGCCTCCTGGTATTATCTACTTCCTATTGCATTATACCACATATGAAGTATTCTTCCCCAAAAAACCGGAATCTGATTGTCTAGATTCAAGTACCAGCTAGGAAGCATGGTAGACAAAATGGAACAAATTAAAAGATACACACAAATGCAGTCAGCAAAACCAGCCTGTGGGAGATTCTCTAGGACAAATGGTTTGGTTTCTTTTACAAATAAATTGCAAGAGAAAAGAACAGGAAGGGGAGCTTACGTATTAAAGGAGACGTCAGAGGCATATCAGTTAGATGCAATATGTGGACCTCGTTTGGATTCTGATTTGAACAAGCTAACTGTAAAACAATATATCAGGCAATTGGGGAAATCATAACACTAAGTCAATATTTGATAGATTAAGAAATGACAGCCGGGTGCAGTAGATCGCACCTGAATTCCATCACTTTGGGAGACTGAGGCAGGCGGATCACCTGAGGTCAGGAACTGGAGACTAGCCTGGCCAACATGGTAAAACCCCGTCTCTACTAAAAGTACAAAAATTAGCTGGGCATGGTGGTGGGTGCCTGTAATCCTAGCTATTCAGAAGGTTGAAGCAGGAGAATCGCTTGAACCTGGCAGGCGGAGGTTGCAGTGAGCCAAGATCACGCCATTGCGCTCCAGCCTGGAGAACAAGAGTGAGACTCTAAAAGTCATTTCATTTTAGAGATATATGCTCAACTATTTACAGATAAAAACATAAAATGTCTTGGTTTTGCTTCAAAATAATCCAGTGAGAGAGAAAGAAGGTGGGAGATTAGTTGAAATAAGATTGGCCGTGAATTAGCCAGGCACGGTGAATTACATCTATAATCCCAGCACATTGTGAGCCCCGAGACAGGAGGACCACTTGAAACCAGGAGTTAAAGACAAGCATGAAGGTGAGCTGGTTTTATAAAAAAGAAAAAAAAAAAAAAAAGGCCAGTCTAGGCAACATAGTGAGACCCCTGTCTTTACAAAAACTTAAAAAATTAGTCAGGCATGGTGGTATGTGTCTGTAATCCCAGCTACTTGGGAGGCTGAGATGGGAGGATCACTTGCACCTGGGAGGTTGAGGCTGCAGTGAGCTGTGATTAAGCCACTCTGCACTCCAGATACTTTGTCTTTAAAAAAAAAAAAAGTTGATTGGCCATGAGTTAATTGTTGAGCTGAGTTATAGATACATGAGGTTTATTATACTGTTCTATTTGATATTTGTTTGAAATTATTTTGAGAATTGATTTTCTTAATTGCTTTTCAGACACTGAAAATTCTTGTATTCCTGCTAACAATGTAGTGTACAAGAGTGCCCCATTTCCACATACTCTTGCCACACTGAGTATTTGCATTCTTTTCAAATTTTGCCAATCTGATAGACACATTTTTGTTGTGTTAATATTAAGGGATAGTTTTAATTAGAGGGTTCATTGCCATTTGCACTTCAAAGAGCCCTTCATCTTTTCCAATCTCCAAAAGCAATCTGCTTGTTTCATGTTTTGTTCAAAAGGGAAGTTGTACTCAGCTCCGCGAATCCTGACGTTACAAGGCAGTGTAACTGTTGGCTTAGCATCTTTCTTCACGGCAGTTTTCTTTCAACCAGCACAGTTTTTATTTCTGGTTATAACACCTCAGCGTTTGTCAGTTTATTTGGTGACCTGGATAAATTCTGGATAGAAAGTTAGGTTGAGGGTTTAACACAGATGACGGTTGTTTTTTTGTTTTTGTTGTTTCTTTCTTAGTCAAAAGGTTCCTATTATATTTTCAGTTGTTTTTAGTGGGGGCAAAATGTGCTTGAAGCCTTTTTCATGTATGCATTCCCTCGTCCTTAACAAAGGCATCGGTGGTCTCCAGGCATAGTCTCCTCTTTGTTTTTGAAAACAAACATGTGTGACTCCCCACACACTGAGAAGAAAATATGCCGCACTGATAATTGGTCTCAGTAGGAATCAAGAAGCATTCTGTTGTGTGTGCTGCTGTCCAGAGTCGTTTCATCTTTCACCTCTCAAATAAATTGTATCCTGAAATGCATTATGTCCTTTCAGAAATAATTACAGAGAGTGGTATTAAGTGAGAAGGAGAAAGTATACCATAAGTTTATAGATCCCTTTTTCTTTTACTGTGTTTCATTGTACATGACAAAATGCAGAGGATTAAATGGTTTTGTTTCATATTCTTCCTCTAAGTGAACCTGACACACACTGCTTGCCAGCCTACTGCCTGGATATGACCTTAGGAGCATGTGTGGTTACCTTGTTGCCCAGGTATTCAAAGTGTGGGTGATGTTTACCTCTTCTGCTGCCCTCCTTGAATAGACTGAATTCCCTAGGGCCATTGTGATGTAGTGGAAAAAGCAGTGCAGAGTCAGAATTTAAATTTCATCTTTGCCACTTAGGAGCATTGTAATATCACCCGACCTCAAAGGAGTTCAAATATATGCCTAGCACTGAGTAAACACCAGCTGAATTTGAATTTGTGATTCATTAAACAAATTTGTAATGCATGCCTGCTGTGTGTTAAGCTCTGTGTTGTCTAGAAATGTATAGTTCTTACCTAGAAATGATTGTCACCAGCTCTTTCTATTCCTTTTCAACAGTAGTTTGCACGTTTCTGGTAAATATCCAAACTCTGCTTTTAGCATCAGCTCTTAAAGATAAAGGTAATGTTTAAGTGTTTCCTTTTGCCGTAGTCTGTTAGGAGAGATGTCCAGCATGGGGAGGTGAAGGTTGTTGGTTTTATCTTGATGTCAGCTTTCTCAGCAGTGGCAAGCAGCCAGTCACCATGCCAAATCAGAGTCTATAACAGCATCTGTTGGGAAAAAATGCATCGTGGTTTCACTAGATTAACTGAATTGCTGAATCCATTCTTTCATGTTGGCTCTGCAGAATGAATTTATGAGGGGTAGAGGTGCATATATGCTTTGGTTTGTTCAATGTATGATAACATTTATCACTGACTCTGGCATAATGCTTAAGTGCTTAGGACAAGGGCCGTTATTGTAAGCTGTACTCTGATGGGGAGCAGGAATACAGTCACTTCCTTGCAGGTTCTGGTGAGGAGGTAGAGGGGGAGGTGGCCACAGCAGCTGCACCACCAGAAGTTCCCTGTGGAGTCCTCACCTTTACAGGGCATTTTATGCTGTTTTTATTGAAGCTGAGGCAGACGCATCTTCCAGAATTTTGGCCTCCCGTATAAAACTTTCTAAAAGATGCTGACTTACAGAAGTGGAATGTCAGGCAAAAGTTAAATGAACACCTGTTAAGTGTGTGGATGCAGTATGAGATAGCCAGTTTGATGTGCTTTCTGGACTCTGATTGTTTCAAGTGTTGGGCGACGCTCCCACATTGCCAGTGCAAGTCAGGCCCTCAGTAAACACACTCAGTGCCATTGCTCTATGTAGAGTTCTTTATTATTATTATTATTTGAGAGAGGGCCTCACTCTGTCACCCAGGCTGGAGTGCAGTGGCCCCATCACAGCTCATTGCAGCCTCAACCTCTTGGGCTCAAACAGTTCTCCCATGTCAGTCTCCTGAGTAGCTGGGTCCACAGGAGGCATGTGCCACAACTGCCCAGCTAAATTTTGTATTTTTTGTAGAGACAGGGTTTCACCATGTTGCCCAGGCTGGTCTCAACTCCTGGGCTTAAGTGATCCTCCTACCTCAGCCTCCCAGAGTGCTGGGATTACAGGCATGAGCCATCATGCCTGGCCTCTTTTTGTTGGTTTTTTTTTTTTTTGAGATGGAGTCTGGCTCTGTCACCTAGGCCTAAGTGCAGTGGTGTGATCTCGGCTCACTGCAACCTCCTCCTCCTTGGTTCAAGTGATTCTCCTGCCTCAGCCTCCTGAGTAGCTGGGATTACAGGCGCCTGCTGCTATGCCCAGCTAATTTTTATATTTTTAATAGAGACAGGGTTTCACCAGTTAGTCAGGCTGGTCTTGAACTCCTGACCTCAGATGATCCACTTGCCTCAGCCTCCCAAAGTGCTGGGATTACAGTTGTGAGCCACAGTGCCTGGCCGTGGTCTCTTTTAGAGTTTGATAAGTTCCGACTGAGATGCACAGCAGGAAAAGGATGTTTCTGTGAATAGCCACAAAGACTTCTCTAGATGCCTGAAGGGATTAATGTCATTTCCCAAAAGGCCAAGTATCTCTCAACAAATTAATCTTCATTGAGTACCTACTTTATGCTCATCAATCTTTTAAATTTGAAGAGGAAGTATATAATGTCATCATGGTCCTTAAAGAACTTAGGATAATAATAAATAGTACTAAGCACGTACTAAATGCTACACACTCTGCTACTGGCCTTCTATACATATTGTTTCACTTAACCCTTACAACAACCAGAGGCGTGTATTACTGTGTCCATTTTACAGACAAAGAAACTGAGGTTCAGAGAAGTGTAGGAACTTGCTAAGTGGCGGGGCAAGGATTTTACTCAAAATGCCCGACTCCGAAGCCCATAGTCTACTTCCCTGAGGTGCAACTGGAGAGGCAAGATGGACTTGTGAAAATGCATACTCATCACCAAAATAGATGGTGTTTGGCAATGGATGCAAAGCTGTAGGGATAATGTGTGAGATGTCTGGATCTAGAGTCTAAAGATCTTGGCAGATGGGAAAAACAGATGAAAGTAGTGAAAGGAAATTTACTGGAGATAAATGTGAAATCCCCCATTTAAGTAAAAATCAGCTCTTAAAGTCCTGAGGAGGGGAAAAATGGTTTAATAGCACTCTATGAGGGTAAAAGAGGACTTAGGGATTTTAGTTAACTGCAAGTTCAAGATGGGTCTGCAGGAGAACAGTGTGGCCAACGTAAACACTAGTGCACCCTGTTGTATTAATAAAAATATGGAATCCACTGAGAACTATATGATGATCGGGAAGATGGCAAGACGATCAGGAAGCTGGGAGTTTGGTCAGGTGAGAAATGACTGAATGAATTAGGGTATTTGGGCCTTCAAATATTTGATTCTTGTGGCAGAAGGGTTACACTTTTTCTACCTACCTCCAGAGGAAAGTCCCGGGCCCCAACCAAAGTGTGGAAGATCTGGACGTCACAGAAGTTGTCATAGAACTATTCCAGAATGATGCAGGCTGCCTGGCAAGGTCAAGAAGTGTGGAAGCAGAAGCGGAGTGCTGTTTTGGAGTGGGATTTTACGGTTCCAAGGGCTGCAGTTGAGAGCAAAGGAGACTCAGGGAGGGCTGGATGCGTCAGAGGCGGTTCATTGGGAAACTGGAATGTGCTAGGGTTTAGGAGGCAGATGAGGAAACAGCATTCTAGGTGAGGAAAACAACATATGAGAAGATAAAGGGAGTGCTTTTTTTTTTTTTCAGCCATAGTCTTGCTTGGTCGCCTAGCCAGGCTGGAGTACAGTGGCACGATCTCGGCTCACTGCAACCTCCACCTCCCGGGTTCAACCGATTCTCCTGCCTCAGCCTCCTGAGTACCTGGGATTACAGGTGTGCGCCACCACGCCCGGCTAATTTTTATATTTTTAGAAGAGACGCGATTTCACCATGTTGGTCAGGCTGGCCTTGAACTCCTGATCTCGTGATCCACCTGCCTTGGCCTCCCAAATGCTGGGATTACAGGCGTGTGCCACCACACCTGGTATCTTTCATTTTTACTTAAACACTTCAGCCTGTCTGAGCTGTTTAAAAGGAGAGCTGTCAGCTCTTGAACTTTGTCAATCATATGTTGCACGACATGTTAATTTTAAAAGAGAATCGGTTGAGGATAGGTCAACTCATTCCCCCTGCAACTGTGGTGTGGCTACTCTGGAAAGGCAACAGGGACCCCCTCCCCAGGTTTAGTTCAGAGGTGGAAGCTGACAATCTCTCATGTGCACACATTGAAATGGTCTGTTGCTTACCTATTTGAAGTCTCTGGGAGACAGGGCAGGCCTCTTGAACAGTGTGAGTGAGCAAGAAAGAGACCAGGTTTTGTTGAGTTGAAAGGGGTGGGGTCAGGATGCAGGTGGTCAGGGCCTTGCCAGTTTTGAATCTCCCACTGCTGCCAAATGAGGGAGCACCTGAGCCTTCTTAGCCTGCCCAGGTGTGGGACAGAAGGGGCAGAGGAAGGGTGGAGGCTTGAAAACTGTGAGCAGTCAGACATCAAAAATGAAGCTGGCTCCTCCTCACAGCCTGTAGATGGAAGTCATTTTTCCAAGGCCCGATATGAAGACTAGATTCCACCCAGCCCTTGTGTCCTGTTTGTGCCAGCCGGCACCAGCCAACTGAAACAGGTGTCTGTGTCCACTTACTCTGTGCCTTCATCTTTTGCCCAGGCCTCATTGCCAGTGCATAACCAGGTGCTGCCTTCAATCGAGAGTGTGGATGGGTCCGATCCTTTGGCAACTCTGCAGACCCCTCTAGGTAGACTGGAGGCGAAAGAGGAAGAGGATGAGGATGAGGACGACGACACTGAGGAAGAAGAGGAAGAAGACGGTGAGGACACAGATCTGGATGACTGGGAGCCAGACCCACCCCGGCCCTTTGACCCACATGACTTATGTAAGTATGGGCACTCGACTCCCCCAGGGAAGCTATGTCCATCTTGTGTGTGTGTGTGAACATAGCTCCCATAAACCAGGTCTTTCTGTGTGCAGCCACTGGGCTACATTCTCTGCCTGCATCATCTTACCTGGCCTTCACTGCAGCCCTTTGAGGAACACTGTCATTTGTGTTCCAATTTTACTGATGGGTAAACTGAAGCTCAGAAGATTGGGCAGCTCGCTTGAGGTCACATAGGGACGAATGAGCATCAGGCAGCTGAGCCCAGGTCTCTCACACCAGAGCTTCAGCCACCAAACCACCATGGTAGATTTGCCCGATCCTGAGCCACTTCATCGTTAAGAAGTTTGCCTTGCTGCTTTGCCTTTGCCATGATAGCCTGTTAAGAATGTTGTTCTATCCCAGGTGGGTAGCTTTCCCAGGGCGGTGCCAATAATTTGAGGGTCAGGACTCCAGCTCAGGCAGTCTGGCCCCTCAGCAGCACCCTTCGTCAGCTACCCCACCCTACTGCCTGCTGGGGGTTCAGATTCCAAATCATTGTTTCTTTTGATTTTCTTGCTCATATGGCAAAGTGCTTACTCATTGATTTGCATTACTGAGGCTCTTCAGAGCTTTGTGGTTTCATCCATCCTTCTGTATGGTGGTGCTAAAATGTGTCTGCTTCAGCTCAGTGTTCAAGCTCCTCATCTAATCCCAATCCAAGAGAGAACTTGCTTATTTTGGTTTTCCTTGAATTCATACATTTTCTTTCCTCTTTTTTTTTTTTTTTTTTTTTTTGAGACAAGTGCTCACTGTCTCCCAGGCTGGAGTGCACAAGCTCAGCTCATTGTGGCTCTCTACTTCCCAGGTTCAATCAATTCTCATGCCTCAGCCTGCAGGGTAGAGTAGTTGGGACTACAGGTGTATACCACCAGGCCCAGCTAATTTTTTTTTTTTTTTTTTTTTTTAGTAAAGACGGGTTTTACCATGTTGGCCAGACTGGTCTCAAACTCCAGACCTCAAGTGATCCGCCTGCCTCAGCCTGCTAAAGTGCTGGGAGTACAGGCTGAGCGACTTGCCCGGCCAAATTAATACATTTTCAAGGCAACTCCTAAGTCAAATGCACAGAAAATCATTTTATTTTAAAAATAATACAATGCAGCTGTGTTATTTGATAATTGTAGAAATTAAAAATACCTGTTTCCTAAACCAGGTCACCGTGTAGCCAGAGTAGGGTAAAGCATGTTAAGTGTGTTAAGGGTCATGGGCATGGGCTGTGTGGTTCATTTGCTCTTCTCCATTTTGGGGCTGTACCTGTCTCATTCTGGCAGTTTGCTTACAAATGGATGCTCATGGCAAAGAGGCAGTGGGTGTGGCCGGACTGGTGCAAACTGAGTGCTCTTGGAATGATCTGAAAATGTCCATCTTGTCAGGGCTAAGCTAGTTGTGTCATCCCAGTGAATGAAGGAAGGGGATTTGTTCCTTTTAACGTTATCTAATCGGACAGTACGCACTGAACTTTCAGACTGCACAGCCCTTTTCCCGTTCAGTTAGACAGGCTGAGATAGACTTCTGCAACTCCCTTTGAGAAAATTGATTCAACAGTATCGTCAAGGTTCCTCCCTGGCCCCTGAATAGTTTTATTGAGATAATTTGCATACTATAAAATTCGCCAATTTTGTCTCCTCTGATAGTGCAACATTTAGCCTGGTAAGCTCTTTTTACTCTTCAGACATGTAGTTGATTTGTAACTTTAGTGGTCACTATTCAAAGTACTCTCTGGCAGAGAAGTAAGTCATGGCCTGCAAATTGTTTTTGGCAGGCATAAGCAAATTCTGCCTAATTTTAGAGGAGAATTACAGGATTTTTACTGGTCTACCAGAGAGAATGTATTACCATTGAGTGGGTAGTGCCATTAGGAGTTAATTGAATTTTGACTTGAAAACATAGACTTGGGGATTTTTCAGGTCGGAATTTTTTTGCCTCACATCAAGTCATACTGAGGAATAGGACTTTTCTTCAAGACTCTCTCTCTCTTTTGCAGGGTGTGAGGAGTGCAATAACGCGCATTCTTCAGTGTGCCCAAAGCATGGCCCCTTACACCCGATCCCCAACCGGCCGGTGCTCACCCGTGCGAGGGCGAGCCTCCCCCTGGTACTCTACATAGACAGGTTTCTGGGTGGGGTGTTCTCCAAGCGGCGCATCCCTAAGCGCACCCAGTTTGGGCCCGTGGAGGGGCCTCTCGTCAGGGGCTCGGAGCTGAAAGACTGTTACATTCATCTCAAGGTAATTTATGCTTTATCACACTTTACTCCTGCTCTTCAGCAGTGTTTCAGGGAGCACTGTATTGTCTACTGGACCCCTTATTTCTGTTTCTTGGCAGTTGTTTGCTAGTATTCTCTTTATCTTAACTTGGTTAAATGAAAACTCACTAATAAGATGGAGATTACAATTTTATTCCCTGAAAGTGTTATATGAATTATTCGGAGAGGGGTAGTTCTTAGGGGCCACAGTAGTTTTCTAGGACTGCCATAGTAAAATACCACAGGCCAGGAGGCTGAAACGATAGACACTTGTTTTCTCACTGTTCTGGAAGCTGGAAGTTTGAGATCATGGTGTTGGCAGGGTTGATTTTTTCTGAGGTCTCTCTCCTTGGCTTGAAGAAAGCCACCTTCTCACTGTGTCCTCACAGGGTCTTTCCTCAGTGCTTGTGTGTGTCCATGTCATAATCTCCCTTTCTTATTTATTTACTTATTTAAATAATTTTTGTATTTTGATTTTTTTGAGATGGAGTCTTGCTCTGTCACCAGGCTGGAGTGCAGTGGCTCTCTCTTGGTTCATTGCAACTTCTGCCTTCTGGGTTCAAGCAGTTCTCTTGCCTCAGCTTCCCGAGTAGCTGGGACTACAGGCACATGCCACCACACTCAGCTAATTTTTATATTGTTAGTAGAGATGGGATTTTACCATGTTGGCCAGGATGATCTCTATCTCTTGATCTTGTGATCCGCCTGCCTTGGCCTCCCAAAGTACTAGGATTACAGGCAAGAGCCACTGCGCCCGGCTAATTTTTGTATTTTTTATGGAGACAGGGTCTTGCCATGTTGCCCAGGTTGGTCTTAAACTCCTGAGCTCAAGTGATTCTCCTGCCTTGGCCTCTCAAAGTGCTAGAATTACAGGTGTGAGCCACCTCGCCTGGCCCATCTTCCCTTCTCATAAGGACCAGTCCTGTTGGATTAGGACCCGCTGTAATGACCTCATTTTAAATTAATTACTCCTTTAAAAGTCCTGTCTCCAAATGCAGTCACAGTCTGTAGGGCTTCACCATGGATTTTGAGGAAGACACAGTTTAGCCCATAACAGGAGCTTGCTTTCTTTATTTAAAAAAATTTTGACTGAAATGCAAAGAGAATTATGTAGGCTTAATGTAATCTGCTATGTGCTAGTAATGTTTGCGAGAAAACCACTTTCCAGTTTTGAAACAAGTCTGACCTATAGACTCTGGTTAAAGAATAGCTTCCTGTGTTGTAAAGTATGTTTATATTCATCTGTTTACAACTGACCCTTTTGCTTCTGTCCAGCCCTCTCTGCTGTCCACTTTTTAGATAACGGCTCCAGAGAACTAGGAAAGGGCAGTGGGAAGGGGTGAATATTTGGGATGTGTTTTTTGACAAATCAGCTGCTGTCATGGGGAGGTTTTCTTCGAGTTCTCAAAATCTCCATGCAAGAATATTACTTTGTAAAGAGAAATTCCTATCCCTGGGCTGCCTATTATAAATGAATGCAATGAAACCCCAACAGGAGGCAAATTGTAATAAACTAGAGAGTATTTTGCTTGCATTTTCTGGCAAACTTGTAGCATTTTTTGTCATGTTCGTTTTGTGAAATATTAACTAAAGCTATGCAATTAGATTAACTTTTACATTTTGCCAGGTAATTTTCTTACAGGTGAGGCTTCAGAAAGTATCTTTTCCCTTTGGCATTTGGCAAGTTGTAAGTTATAGGTCCAGGATTTTTCCAGATACAAAGAGAAGAGCCAGGATATATGGTTAATTTTAGGAGCAATACTTTGTGTATTGTGACATTACAAAATGCGTCACATATTGAAGGTTTTGTTTTGTTTTTGGTGTGGCTTTTTACTTTTTTCGTGCAGGTTTCTCTTGATAAAGGGGACAGAAAAGACAGGGATTTGCATGAAGACCTGTGGTTTGAGTTGTCTGATGAGACACTTTGTAACTGGATGATGTTTGTACGGCCAGCCCAGAATCACCTGGAGCAGAACCTTGTGGCTTACCAGTATGGACACCATGTGTATTATACAACCATAAAAAATGTGGAGCCCAAGCAGGAACTGAAGGTACAGTGCTGCCAGACCCTGCTGCTATTTGCTAGCAAGAGTGATTTTTTTAGGGCTTTTTGCAATTTTATTTCTTTAAAGTGGGATTGTTAAAAAAAACGTCATTTCCTTGTAATTCACATACTTTTTGAGTAGCTACCATGTAGTGTACACATACACTATGTACACTACATAATCCTGTAAATAGAATGATAAGTATATGGCTTTTATGCTTACCAAAGGGCCTATGTAAGGCCGTACATGGTGGTCATGCCTGTAATCCCAGCACCTTGGGAAGCCCAGGTGGGTGGATCACTTCAGGTCTAGAGTTCAAGACCAGCCTGCTCAACATGACGAAACCCCATCTCTACTAAATATACAAAAATTAGCTGGGTGTGGCAGGTGCCTGTAATCCCAGTTACTCATGAGGCTGAGGCAGGAGAACCACTTGACCCAGGAGATTGTGTAGAGCCAGACTCCATCTCAAAAAAAAAAGCCTACGTGAAAGCACTAGGTCCGTGGGGTAAGGAGGTAGTTGTTTTGGGGAGCAGACCAGTCTAGATGCTTCTCTACCTGTGCCGGAATTATATCCCAATAAGCCTCATTGCAAACTGAAAACATTGTAAACTGAAAGTGTACTTACTACGCTCAACCTACGAACATCATACCTCAGCCTCGCCTGCCTTAAATGTGATAAGAACACTTACATTAGTCTACAGTTGGGCAAAATTAACACAGTGCCTATTTTATAATAAAGTGTTGACTATCCCATGTAATTTATTGAATACTGTACTGAAAGTGAAAAGCAGAATGGTGTATGGGCACGCAGAAGATTTCTACTGAAGGTATCTCACTTTCGCACTATCGTTACATCAGAAAATTGTAAGTCACACCATTGACAGGAACGTATCTGCTTCTGTGGTGGAGTGATTAAAGATTTTGGTTAACTTTTTTTACACACTGCATAGTTGGGAAACTGATTTTTAGATGTATGGGCAAGATGTTTAGCTGTATGAGCAATAATTTTTTCTTTATATGAATATTTTACTCAAAGAATTATGTGCATTTCAGAAATATATTTTTGGGTGATAACTATTGAAATTTATCTAAATAGTCATTCTTGACATAATAAAATTTTGCTATGATTCTAAATGAAAATTCCTTTTTAAAAATAAAGTTTATATTAAAAACATGCCAAAAGAGGAGATCAAAATAGTCTTTAGCTTCCTGATATAAATGAAAAATAGGCAATAAATGCTCATATAAGTAAGTACATGAACATTGAATTGCACAGTGCCTCCATATGGTACAAATCAGAAATGGATACCTCTCTTGAGGGAGAAAGAATCCTGGATTTTGTGCAAAACCTCTGTTTTTGAAACCATCAGCTAGAGAATCCATAAACCCTGAAGAAAATATGCAAAAGGAAATTCGTATCTCATACCATGTATTCCAATAAATTCCTGATTAGAAAAAAAAAAAGGAGGTGAATTTTTTTAACTGTGAAGGGGAGATTTTTTCTTTTAAACCAGTAGATGGGACTATAAAGATGGACAGAAACAAATATGAATATAATAGTTCAGTGTAATGAACAACCATAAAACAAAAAGGAAACAATAGAATGGGGGAAATATTTGTAATACACATGAAAATGTTCAACTATGAAGACTGACAGGCTTCACTACACCCAGATGGACAAATGAAAAAATGTCAGGAATTGACTTTATCTGGAGGAGGAAACAAATAGTAAGAAAATGTTTAAAAACAGAAAAAAGAGCGAATGCATTTTGGGCTTAATACCTAGATGATGGGTCCAGCAAATCACCATGCACATGTTTACCTATGTAAACATCCTGCATGTGTACCCTGGAACTTAAACAACTTAAAATTTTCAACATTAACCATTTAAAAAACCCTCAAAATAACTATGACTACTATTTACATTAATTTAAGTTGGCAAAAATAAATGGATACAGTACAATGAATGAATGTTTTTTAAAAAAATAGGAATGTTAATGGTAGAACTGCATTATTTCATAAAATAATTCTGGAAGTATATAGCAAAAATGTTCTTGGCTGAGTAAATCTAATCCTTCAAAGTTAAGCAGAGGAAATAGTTACAAAAAGAAGACAGAACTGGACTACTGTATTTTACAAACCCTAAGATACCAATGACTTTAGGGTGCACTATTATTTTATGCACCATTAAGAAAAAAATGCTACCTATTAAATTATTATACTTTTTAAAAATAAAAAATGTTTAGAAGGAGCTATTTTAGACTTATTTTGACTTAATTTTAAAATTCCATCATACTTGTGCATGCATAAAAAGGCATGCTGAAGCAAAATAAATTGGTTGCGGTATAAACCACTTTGTGTGCAGAGTCTGACTTCTTTTTCCTCCATCACTGTTTGACTTCATCGTGGACGTTTGTGCCGTTTTCTATGCTGTCATCTTCTGGGCCATTGACAGCGTGGATGCAGCTGCAATATTTTAAAAATAAGTGTTCTGCTATTGCCCCTGGGATGTTTCCCCGAGCCACTGATCACCTGCCTGCAAGTTTTGATACGGTGCTTTCCCATTTGTCTGAACTCATCTGTGTCTTTTTCCTCAATTGAATCACGTATCCTCGGAACTGGAGAGGCTTTGGATCAAGTCTGTAGGAAGTTTCTGACAGCCGATGCCTTACTGAGAAGCCCTGCAGGATGCATGCCAACCTTACATGGCTTTCAGATTTTTTGTGTTCTGAGGGAAATGGCAAATCTTTTTGGCATTTGCGTTGCTTGGCAAGTGTTCACTCATGGAGTGTCATTGGGCTCATAACTGAATGGGGTGAGAACAGTACAAAGAGCTTGGCCAGGTTTGTGCAGGAGCAGTGAGCAGGTAGCAGGAGCTCCACTGTGGCCATGACTGTGGAAGGCCCTAGAGTGTGAGACACGTCCTGACTTCTGACATGTTAAAATATTTAAAAATATACCTTGGAATTGATAGATTAGGGTATACTTTGTAATAGTAAAATGATAATCCATCTAAAAGTACAACTACAGGGGCGTAGTTAATTAAATTATAGAATACAGACTATGTAGACGATTATTCCATGGTAAAGTGTCTTTATGAATGTTTTCATATATCTTAATATTCCATAACAATATATGATTAATTCATTTAGTAATTGGATATATTGAAATCCTACTATGTTTGAGACCCTAGAAAACATAGACTGGCTCCCTGTGTTCTGGGAACCTGTATGCTAGAGCAGAAATGGACAGAAAGATGTAAAGAAGCAAAGAATATCTCATGGGATAAGTTCCATGAAGGAAACAGTTGGTGCAGAAAGAGCAGGTAACAAGAAAGGGACCGATTTTGATGTGATGGTTAGGAAAGGCCTTGCCGATGAGGCACTGTTGAGGCTGAGAACTATGGAATGGGGCCAGCACTACTGAGGGTGAGGGCAGGGTTGAGGGCAAAGAGCCCAGGACTTGTGGAGGTGAAACAGCAGAGCTGAAGGCTTGGGGTGGGGAAGCGCTTGGCATATTTGAGCAGCTGAAAGCAGGCTCCGTTGACTGAAGCATGGGTCAGGGAGACTGATAAGAGCTGAGGTTGCTTTTCCAAGTTGGGGAGATCGTGGAGCCCTTTGGAGATTATCATCAAGCATTTCAGGTTTACTATGAGATGAGAAGCCATTGCCTGCCTGACAAGATCTGATTGTGTTCTTTTTATTGATACATGTGATATTTTGATGCCTTTTATATGATGTATAATGATCCAGTTAGGGAAACTGGGATTTAAGGAGACCACCCTGGCTCCTGTGTAGATTGCAGAGAAAAGGAGAGGCTAGTCAGAAGGCCAGGTGTTTATCCAGGCAAGAAATGGTCTTGGCACGCATCAGGGTGGCAAAAGCAGAGATGGAGAACATCTGAGGGAGAGTAGTCCTTGCTAAAGGTATATAGAAGCAAGCAGAGAAATCAAAGGCACCTTTCAGGTTTGAAATCTGAGCAACTGGGCGGAAGGTATTCATCAAGATGGGAAAGATGGGTGGGAGTGGGAGTTGGAAAGCATTGAGAATTCCATTCTGGACATGGTAAATTTGATCTGTTTGTGAGACATACGAAATATCTAGTTGAACACACTCAGAGGGAACAGAGAAAGAGCATCTGGGATAGAGATATTAATTTGGGAGTCATTAACATAGAGTTGGTTGGAAATGGTTGTGGTCACTTGAGGTCAAAATAAGAAGGCCCTACACTCGGACTAAGCTTTGAGCTACACCAATATTTAGAAGTTAGGGAGAAAGAAAAAGAGGCAAACAGAGTGAGCAGAAGTAGCCACTGGGTGGGCGGGAGAAGGTGGTTGCCTTTGAAGTTGTCATTGGTGATCCCAATAAGGCTGTTTGGTGGCAGCCACTATAGCTACAGCCCTGTAAAAACCAGTGTTTAAATATAGATAAGAAATCAGAGGAGGCTGTTTTATTTAGATGAAGAGACTATGATTATAATTCTAGTAACCACTTTCTGAAAAAGAAAAGCCATGCAGTATGTCTTGGCAAATGAACTTCCTGACTGATCTGCTGGAAAGGTATTGCAAGGGGAGCTCACAGCATGATCTTTTTTTTTCTTTGTTAATGGGCTGTGGGAAAGCCTGAATTGTTTCCTGTAAGCAGGGGAAATAATTTAAGCATGCAAAGAACATCTGGTGATGTCCCCAGTTCTTGATGATATACTTGCTTCTTGCAGGTGTGGTACGCCGCATCCTATGCAGAGTTCGTGAACCAGAAAATTCATGACATTTCTGAGGAAGAAAGGAAAGGTGGTTAGACGTTTATGTTTTACATTTTCTATATGAATTCTAAATTGTATATCATCACATCTTTATGAAACGTTAATTGTTTTGTCTCAATATATTTCAGAAGCTATTCCAGTAGGTTTCTTAGAGACACACATCTCCATCTAATTCAGGGTCAAATTACAATGACATATTTACATTTCTCTCATCTGTGCTGGAAAATAATATTTAATATAATGAAAACTTCCACATACCAAATTAGAACCTAGATTAGAGGACAATTCCTATCCAGATTTTATCGTCTCTGAGGATATACCAAGACAGGCATTGACTTTGTTTTTAATGCAAATGTCACTGAAGTATAATCTACATACAGAAAGCTGTACACATCGTAAGTATACATCTTAAATTTTCACAAAATAAACACACCCATGTAACCTGCACCCAGATTAAGAAACAGAGCATTACCGTGCCCCAGACGTTTCTTTGTGCTGCCTTCTAATTCCTACTCACTCCCAAGTGTAACTCTTTCCTGACTTCCAGCACCACACATAAGATGCGCTTATTATCGAATTGTGCATAATAGAATTATGTGACATGTACCCTTTTGGTGCCTGGGTATCTTTTGCTCAACATGGTATTTATGAGATTCATCCACATCAGTGTATATAATTATAATTTATTCATTCTCATTGTTATTTGGTATTCGAGTATATGAATGTAAAACAAGTGATTTATCCATTATGTTGTAGATTTGGTTGTGAAATGTACTTTTGTCACTAACTCTCCAGAGTTAGATCAAGTTTCACAGGTTCATGGCAGTCATCCGCAAGACACTCCTGACTTCAGACACCAGCTGCAGGCTCTGGGGCTTGGGAATCTGCAAGTTAGGAGGTTCCCAGTAGCTCCTCAGGTTTGATAATTCACAAGAATAAATCACAGAACTCGGAAAAGCACTCTTCTTAAAGATGGCCATTTTGTTACAAAAGATATAATAAATCCTTTTGTTTATTATAATATATAAATAGATATCTAATATATAAAAATACATGGTTTTTATATATTAGGGCCAGCCAAATGAAGAGATACATATGGTGAGGTCTGGGAGATCACAAAATGTCCTCAGGACGTGCCACCCTCCTGGCACATTGATGTATGAGTCCCAACCATAGAGGCTCACCTGAGCTTCAGTATGCAGTGTTTTTATTAAGACATCATTACATAGGCATGACTGATCCAATCATTGGCCAGGTGATCAAGCTTGATTGCCAGCTTCCCCACCTCCTGCTTCTTCCATGAGGCCAGGCTGATAACCCCTGGCTCCAAGCCCCACATTTCTAATTACATTGTTGAGCTTTCCTGCGTGGCCTGTCCCCACTCTGAAGCATCTCATTAGAATAAATTTGGGTATGCTTATGGGATGGGGCACCATGAATAACAAAGACACTCCTATTGCCCAGGAAATTCCAGTGACTTAAAGGTTACCAACTAGGGACAAAGACCAGCCAGATTCTTCATTACACAATAAGATCATTTCTAGTTTTTGGCTATTTTGAAGAGTGCTGCTGTGACCATTCTTACATGTCTTTTCGTGAACGTATGTGCACATTTCTGCCAGTGTGTATCTAGGAGTGGAGTTGCTGGGTCATGGAGTATGCCCATATTCAGCTTAGTGGATACATCTGAACATTCTGCTAAAGTCATTATACTGAGCATTGATGTTTAAGTTATTTGTGCTAAAATATACCCTCAGATTATGAAACTTGGTTCTGAATCTCTAGGTTATCTGCATACAGATGTTTGCAACATCTTTTGTGTTTTCAGTATGGTGAGGTCATGTGTGTGTGTTGAGGGCTGTGAGAGGGTGATGTGAGGATATTTGTTCCTTTGATGTCTTGCACGGACACATTAGAAAATAAGATCCTAAAAACCAACTCTGCCAAATTTTAGCTTTCGATTTGATAACAAAACGGTAATGCAAATAGAAGATACTGTACAATCATGAACCCTTTGGGCTGCAATAAGATAAGAACGGTGGGGATTGCAGGCATTTGAGTTTTGTCAGTGTCTGTTGATCATCAGCCCTTATGATTTCTCTCCTGTGACTGTAGTTCTTCGAGAGCAAGAGAAGAATTGGCCCTGCTATGAATGTAACCGCCGATTTATAAGCTCAGAACAGTTACAACAGCACCTCAATTCTCATGATGAGAAACTAGATGTGTTTAGCAGGTATGTATGAGGGAGAAAGGCTCACAGACTGAGTTTATAAAGGCTCAGAATCATTTCTGTATTGTCCACTAGCTAATGAGTGTCTCTGAGTGTCATGTGTAGGTAAGTAACCAGGTGGGCTACTGAGGGAAGGGTGTTACCTGTCATATCCTTTTCCCTCTGCTCCTCGTTTACCATTATCCATCTTTTCCAGCATAACCAATACCCAGCAATGGGACGTCCTTTCACTTTAGTTAAATCTCCCTTAATTGGAGATTCTGAAATAGGAAATTTTGAGATAGCATATACCTTCAAAATAATCTGCATCTTTGATTTTCAGACTTTCTGCAGCAGTACAATTACTTAATCAAACTAAGTCATATGTTTAATTCCACTATACAAATAAGACAGATGAGGGGAGAGTTATATAGGATGAAGTGGGCAGGGGCCAGATCAGGTAGAGCCCTGTGGGACATGGCAAGGAATTTAGATTTTATTCTAAGTGTGATGAGAAGTCTTTAGAGGGTTTTGGTCAGAGAGTATTGTGATGTTGATTGTATTTTTTGAAAACCATTTTGGATAAAAATAACACCTGGATAAAATTACCTCTAGCTTATACTGGAGTAAGGTGGAGGCAGGGAATCCCGTTAGCGCTATCGCAACAGTTTGGGGGAGGAACGTGGGTGGTGTGGGATAGGGTCATGCCAGGGGGACCGTGTAGGGTTGCCGGTTTTTCCAGGGTTTGGAAAGAGAGGAGATGTGTGATATGGTAGTCAGGTAAGTGGGAAAGTGAATGTTTTAGGGAAGTGCCATACAATGGCCTGTTATATTAAGTGCCCACTTGGAGTTCATGGTTATAAAATGAAAGTGAGCCCACTAGCATGGCTGTGCATTGTTCGCCAGCTTCATACAGCTTCAGGGGTGCTGGTGCAGAGCAGGCAGGGAATTGGATTACACAGGGTTGTGGCTTTGCTAAGTGCTTATAACACACATCAAGAAAACAGAACAGCGTGGGATGGGAATTGAGAGCACCCACAAGGGAGTGGTTCCAATGAAGGACCTGGAAGTGTATGCTGTGGAAGAAGGGGAGCGAACTCAAAGCAACTCAGGGCTGCACAGAAGAGCCAGAAGGATTGGATTGAAGATGCTTGCATGGCTGAAGGGTTGTTGAGTGCAGGGACTAGAGGAAGTAAACTACAGAGCCAGGGTAGTGTCCTAGTGGGCAGTGTACGGGATTGTCATGAAGAGACTTACAAGCATGACAGGGTCTAGGATGTGACCACAGGGATCAGAGCCAGGGTAGTGTCCGAGTGGGCAGTGCACGGGATTGTCATGAAGAGACAAGCGTGACAGGTTCTAGGATGTGACCACAGGGATGAATGTCTAAGCAGGGTAGACACAGTGAGATTTGAGTCACTCTCTTCTGGGTATCTCTAAAACTCTGTTCATGGCTCTCTTGTAGCAATTTTTGTATTATATTTGTAATTTTTGGTTTATATGCCAGCTCCCTCTACTAGTGCCAGCTTCCTCTACTAGACCCCTGAGGGTAAAATCTATTGCATGTAACCTGATGTCCTTAGTGCCAGCATAGTACGTGACACGTAGTAGATAATACCTTTGTTAGCCAACTGTTAAGAGAAACTTGGGACAACTAGGAAGATTTGAACTTTGACTAGATACAATAATACCAGCAACTATCAGGTATTTCTTAGGTAATAGTGGAATTATGGTCATATACATGTAAAGAGTCCTATGAGTCAGAGAGACATGCCAAAATATCAAGAGATGAAAAGATATATGGGATTTGCTTCAAAATCATCGAGTGGGTATGTGTGTGGGCAGGTGGTAGGGGTGCAGATGGAAAAAGTTGGCCATGGGTTGAAAAATGCTGGAATTGGGTTATGGGCACATTGGGCTCATTGTACTATTTTCTACATTAATTGGTTCAGAATTTTCCAACATGGAAAGTCTTTTAAAAATTCCTGAAAAAAATATATAGTATTTGTTAAATTATTAAATAGATGAGTGGAAGAATAAAATTTTGATCTGATTGACATTGTATGTTTCCTACATACATATCTTCTAAAAGAAGCTTCCATAACCTACTTTTTGAGCCTTTTTTTTTTGAGACAGAGTCTCTCTCTGTCACCAGGCTGGAGGGCAGTGGCGTAATCTTGGCTCACTGCAACCTCTGCCTCCTGGGTTCAAGTGATTCTGCTGCTTTAGCCTCCCGAGTAGCTGGAACTACAGGTGTGCACCACCATGCCCAGCCAATTTTTGTATTTTTAGTAGAGAAAGGGTTTCACCATGTTGGCCAGGATAGTCTTGATCTCTCAACCTCATGATCTGCCTGCCTCAGCCTTCCAAAATACTGGGATTACAGGTGTGAGCCACTTTTATTAAGGAATTTATGTTTGTTAGCAATTCATGCCAGGCATGGTGGCTCATGCCTCTAATCCCAACACTTTGGGAGGCCCAAGAAGGATTGCTTGTGTTCTAGACCAGCCTGGGCAACATGGCAAAACCCTGTCTCTACAAAAAATTAAACAAAATTAGCCAGGCATGGTGGTACATGCCTGTATTCGCAGCTACCTGGGATGCTAATGTGAGACAATCACTTAAGCCCAGGTGGTTGAGGCTGCAGTGAGCCATAATTACATCACTGCACTTTAATCTGGGTAGCAGAGCAAGATCTAGTCTCAGAAAGAAAAAAAAACCCATTAAGGGCAATATAAAATTTAATTGATGTTTACTAGGCATGCTATGAAACAATTGAATTCTGACCTTCCAGAAGCTTGTAGTAAAACAAGAAAGTTGTTTGAATTTGGCTACATTTCTTGGAAGGAATATGAGGTGAGGCTAGGGGAAAAGAGAGAAATAATGGGAATCTTGTCTCAGATGACATCTCCTGGGAACACACTCGAAGGCTTAGCATGTTCTGTCCTGTCTGCCTTTTTCACATCATTTCAGAAGCAAAATATTGTCAGTGCTTTGAATTTTTATAGCTCTTTTCTTCAGAAGAATTGAAGACATATCTTTAAGCTATAATAGAGGGCAAGGATGAGATGTTCAGAAAGTGTATATTAGTAAAACAGTTGTTTCCATTAAGAAAATCCTGGAAAGTAATAAGGTGAGAGGCATCAAAATCTGGGGTTAGTAAGGATCATTTAGGTCATGATTTGTTATGGAGTATTATGTAACCATGACGACCCATAACCCAATCTCTTGTCCCCAGAACAAGAGGCAGAGGAAGGGGACGAGGCAAGAGGCGATTTGGTCCAGGTCGACGACCGGGGCGTCCTCCAAAATTTATCCGCCTGGAAATCACCAGTGAAAATGGGGAAAAGAGTGATGATGGGACACAGGTACCTGGGGATGGGAAGGAACCCTCCTTAGATGCTTGTGTGGAGGACTTACCAGATCCCTGATGAGATGTGAATACAGGGACCTTCCCAATGTTTGTAGACCTTTCCTATCAGACCTTGCTGCCTGTTAATTAAAGTATGATTAGAGAATGGCAGAAAAGTGTATTATCAAGGGTTACCTACAACAAAAACCCAACTTTGCTGCTCTAAAGATTTGAAATTGACCAGAGTTAGTAGAGATAGACTTTGTTTAATTAAACTATTAAAATTATTGATATTCCAGAAAAGTCATATCACAGTCTTTTCTTTGTTAAGTGCTCTGGAATCTCTGCTGCTTTGCCTTCTGTGCATAGTTACCTAATTAACTTTCCCAGAGGGAGAATATTTTTTCTGAGTATTATGAATCTAGTCATTCTGAAATAAGCAGCAATTCTAAATCTGAGCCGACAGACCCTCCAGCACTGATCTCTATTCCTGCTTATTGCAAATTTCAGGACTTGCTACATTTTCCCACAAAGGAGCAATTTGATGAGGCTGAACCAGCCACTTTGAATGGGCTGGATCAACCAGAACAGACCACTATCCCAATCCCTCAGCTGCCACAAGAAACCCAGTCTCCCCTGGAACATGAACCAGAAACTCACACCCTGCATCTGCAGCCGCAGCACGAAGAGAGTATGGTGCCCACCCAGAGCACGCTGACAGCCGATGACATGCGCAGAGCCAAGCGCATTCGAGTAAGTGGGGAAAGCCGGTAGCTCCTTGCGCCAGCCAGTGATCTTCCTCTCACCACCAGCTTTCTGGTGGTTTTCCAACCTATTCACCTTCCACTCTGAAATCTTGCATCTAGCCCATCACATGTGCAATCCCCTTATTTTGAAAGAAGGTATTCACTATTTCTCAATGTCTCTGTGTCCTGTGGCAGGCTATCATGGCTGGTCCTAGGTTTGACCCATTTAGTAATGACACAGAGGCCTGGAGGTTGGCAGCTCCTGGACTAGCTCTCTGCATCCCTCAATTCACAGATTGGAACTGGAGAAATAAGTACATTTAGTTATAATAATCATTTGTGTTTTAAACCAGGCTAATTTGTGCCTAATCATAGTTCTCAAGTTAATTTTGGGTAACTAAATTTGCTTATCTACTGCTTCCCAGGGGAGAATGGCAAATGTCATTACTCATCACTGTAAAGTGACCTGTGTCCAAGTTGAGATGGCAGGTACAATTCACACACCTGGGGATAGCTCGAGCCAAAGCTGTCAGTTCAAGAGTTAGTCAGTGTCCCAGTCACTTGACCTGTGTCTTGGCCTCAGACCATGCGGCTGCAGAGCTTTCATGACTTGCAATTCAGATGTGTTTTGTTATTTCACAAATAGCATTTGAGTCTGAGTTAGGAACTGCAGGGGATTTGTGTGGAAAACAATATGGCTTTGTGGGATAAGTGTCTGTGCTGATAAAAAAACAATGACTTAAAGCCCTGTTTGTGGCAGCTGAGTGCTTAAAGACTTACTGGTACTTTCCGGGAGATGAAAGAGACATTTTGTATAACTTCCCAGGCTTTACAATTTCTACCTGCATGATCGTTTCAGCATATGTTTCTCATGGTCTTCTTATTTGCCCGTAGGCTAGAAGGGACCTTGAAAAATAGTCTAGTCCATGCCTTCATGTAAAAACACATTTAAACATTTGTAGCCATATGATAGCTTTGAAGGGCTCCAAGAACTCTGAGGCTAAACACCCTTTATGAGGGCCCTGTATCAAAACATAAAACTCTCAACTCACTGTATGTTATTTCACAAGGGTATAACGAACATACAGAAACATAGGCCAGGAAAAAAAAGCTATGAATTAGTATCTTCCCACCCATTATTCTCCTTTAGTTCCTAATCTGCACTTCTTTCTCATGCTTAATTACTATATTTTCTGCTTTGGCCATTTTGATTTTTTTTACTAAGTCCAGAGAAATGCTTGCTAGATTTTTGTTTTTTTGAAAAACCGAAGCCCACACATGCAGTGAAGTTGTGGATGCACAAACACAGTCCAGCCGTAATTGTACATGCATTCTTGAATGAGCAGGGGTGCTGGTTTTGGTACAAGGTTCCTTGTGTCAAAGCAAAAGCCATATGTCTCTGGCTTTTGGAGGTCAGTCTTAGTTGAGCTAGTTTGGTTTTTTTCTCTCACACATTCTAAAAAGTAGGGCTATGTATTTTTTCATCTTTTCTATCCAGATTGGTAATGACCAACTGAAGGGAAGTCTTCCAATCCAATTGGTAATGTAACTATTTTTCTCTCCTCTAATGCTGCCTGCTCAGTTGGAGCTGCAGGTAGGTTTGTTTCCTGTGTTTCACATAACAGAATGTTACTTAAGTGTTTGCCTGACCTGCTGTTCTTTGCAACCTGTACTTACTAAATCCTGGTGGAAACCACAATTTGGTTGCTACAGTAAATGAAAATTAATGAATAATGATAACTTATTTGAAAATAGATCAGTGAATACATTGTGGGCTGCAGGTTCCTCATATACAAAATGAAGGGTAGGACTAAGTGATCTCCAAGGTCCCTTCCAGCACTGAAACCACTGGAATGACTTATGCAATGGTGTTGAGATCTAACTGTATATTTGGCCACTGTGCTGGGTACACAATAGAATTTTCACCTGAGCTTACAGTCTAAATAGGGAATCATACTAATGTAGGGGAGTTTACAGTTAGGTGTTCAGTGTGAAAGTATAACTTGGAAAAGTGAAAGGTCAAAGTAAAATAGAGGAGTCAGAATAATTCATGATGAGGTGAGACTTAGACTAGCCCATGAAAGGGAGAGGGGAGGAAGGTAGACTGTTACAGAGAATGGCAGCCATGGGATCAGAGGCCCAGACACAGGAGGTTCTTGCTGTGGTTCGGGACAGTGTAGACATGAGCCTGGCCGTAGCAGGGGTGCCGTGGAACGATGGTGCAGAGTAAGCTGTGTTGAGCAGGGCTGGCCAACCAGAGGAGTTGAAAGTGGGCAGAAAATTGTCCAAAGGAAAGTGGTTTAAAAGACCCCAAAACTGCCAGGCACAGTGGCTCATGCCTGTAATCTCAGCACTTTGGGGGACTGAGGAAAGCGGATTGCTTGAGCCCAGGATTTCAAGACCAACGTGGGCAATGTGGTGAAACCCTGTCTCTACTAAAAACATGCAAAAAATTAGCTGGACATGGTGGCACACACCTGTAGTCCCAGCTGCTCTGAGCGTGGAAAGTCAAGGCTGCAGTGAGCTGTGATTGTGCCACTGTACTCCAGCCTGAGTGATGGAGTGAGGCCCTGTCTCAAAAAAAGCCCCCCAAACTCCAAATCAACAAACATGATTTCCTTTTTGTGTCAGAATTAAAATAGTATGAAAATTGATCAGTAATTTAGGTTCTTGTCGCTATTAATATCAAACTTTAGGAACATTTTAGTCAGGCGTGGTGGTATGTATTTACAAGTCCCTGCTACCCTGGTGGCTAAGGTGGGAGGATTGCTCGAGTCCGGGAGGTCGAGGCTGCAGTTAGCTATGATCGTGCCACTGCACTCCAGTCTGGGTGATGGAGCAAGACTCCATCTCTAAAAAACAAACAAACAAAAATCCCCTAAACTTTAGAAACATTTTATGATCTTTGTCCACAAGTAATCTGTTGTCTCAGAATTCATTGCAATGTGAGTTGAATCCCAAACCACAGAACTTGGCAACAATATGATTTTGGTGTCCCTAGAGTAGCTGATATATATGTATAGTGTGGTGGATTGCCTGATGAACTCAGGGAGCAGAAGAGCTAGAGTGGATCTGTGTGCTTTCTCTGACATTTTTCATAATTTTTTCTATAAATGAGTACAGGTGGTGGCTCTGATCTACAGAAGACCCCTTAGAACAGAACTGGCCTGCAAGTGGGTCAAGGGGTGGGAACCATTTCAGCACTTTTACAACCTTGTAATGTGAGGATCCCATTAGTATCATTAGATCAGAGAAATACAGTCTAGTTCTTGAATACAATGTTCAGGGCTCCATGGAAATTGAAAAGATGATAAGGTTTGTTAGTAGAACCAAGAAAGTGGAGCCAGGTGGTGGCTCAGTTTAAATCAACTGTCTGGAGGTACTCACACTAATCAGAAATGACAGAAGACTGATTAGCATAATGGACCAAAACAAAACTGAGTTCTGGATTTTGGCACCCAAGGAGAAATGGCATCCTCAATGGGACCACAGTCAGTGTGCATTATGTCTGTCCTTGGACACTTCACTGAGCTTGGATAAAGGAAAAGATTTCTATGTGGCAAAATTTAAATCTTGCATCTCTGAATCTCAGAATAGCATTGGTTCATCTGCAATATTTTCATAAAGTTTTGAAAGTAGACAAAATAGTAAAGCTTTGATGTAAAATTAATATCCAGACAGAGTAAAAAGATGCGGTGGCTGCCGAACTGTGCACAGAAGTGAAAGCAAGCCCTATGGCTGATTTGAGAAAAACCTACTATTATTATTGTTATTATTATTATTTTGGAGACAGAGTCTCACTGCAACCTCCACCTCCTGGGTTCAAGCGATTCTCCTGCCTCAGCCTCCCAAGTAGCTAGGATTTTAGCCCAGGGGTTACCTGCCACCATGCCTGGCTAATTTTTGTATTTTTAGTAGAGAGGGGTTTTACTATGTTGGCCAGACTGGTCTCGAACTTCTGACTTTAGGTGATCCGCCCACCTCAGCTACCCAAAGTGCTGGGATTATAGGTGTGGGCCACCATGCCCAACCAAGAAAGATCTATTCTTAGAAATCTCTGCAGATGCTCTAGAAAAATCCTCGAAATAGTTCTTTTGAGTTTCATATGAAATATATTTCACTGATTTTCAAACTGCTTTTGAAGACTTTCTATAAGCTAAGCAACTTATTAAGGGGTCTGGATACAAAAAAAAGAATAAAGTCTGATACATCCCCTGAAGCAGCCCCATTGGCTGAAGAAGATAACAGAATTGCTGTTTATTTACTCAAGATAAGTGAATAGGTAGCAGCTTAAAAATCTTTCTCCTAAGCCCCATTAGAGAAGCCCTGAGAAAGAAATTTTCTGCTACACAGTAATTATGTCTAGAAATTTCACTAAATCTAAAATAATTATTTTGTTTTCCTCACATGATAATTTCACATTAAATTTAGTTTAATAATTGATGCTTACAAGTAATTTGAAGGGTTTAAGCATTGTTCACTGCACTTTCTTCATTACACAAATCATGCATGAAGATCTCCATTAATCCTTCAATTACCGTTCATTTATAGCTACATAGGCACAGCCATTCACAGATATACTTGAAAGATTTCCCCCCCTTGTAGCAATCTAGAGCTTTCCTGCAGTGTTTTGAGGAACTTATGAATGAGTCTTCATTATAAGCATAACTGAAAGATTGATTCTGCATTCTCTGTGTGAGAGATGATTTTGTTGATCTGCTCTCAGTAGAGCATGCATAGTTTTTCCAGAGGTGGTGATGGGTTTGCACTGAGTACCCATACTATCCCACTTGGATTCCCTATAACAATTGCATGAATTTACAAGATGGCTAATCAGCATTGCAAGTGCAATCTGTGCCTGAAAACAAAGAGCAGAATTGCCTGGTCTAGGAACAGTGTGATGAGCTTAACTTTGTTAGCATGGCATTCTAACCAGTAGAACTAACCATGCTGGGACCCTGTCTTCTGTTTTCTAAGAAGGAAGTGATAAAATACATACGTTCCATTTATGATGTGTGCTTATGTCTCATTCACATAAATCTGAATCCTTTTCAGTTCTTTTTCTTGAATTGAGATCTGTAATTCTCATGACATAAAACTTACCCTTTAAAGTGGTTTTTAGAACATTCTGAAGTTGTGCAATCTTCACCACTCTCTAATTCCAGAACACTTTTATCACCCCCAAAAGAAACCTGGTATCCATTTCCTCCTCCACCCTGACACTGGCAAGGACCACTTGCCACTGAAGAATAGGGAATTCTTCAGTTCTTTTTATTGTCTTTTTTTTGCTAAGCGTTTTCATCAAGCTTCAAATTCATTTTCTCACGGATTTCAACAAATAACATTTGGCTGACTTGCTCCAGCCTGGTTCTTGCATGTGTGACTTACTCTTAAGACTTTTCCTCCAGATCTTCCATTTTCATCCTGTTCCAGTTTGGGATTTGTTTTATTATACAAGTTTTCTATTGGGAACGCTTTTTTGTGTTACTTAAACCCTTTCTAAAGAAAACCCACATACATAGATGTAAAACAAAACACACACAAAATTCGTCTTTTCAAGAGGAACTCCTTTGAGGACAGCTTCATTTTCAGTCTTCACCAGAAACATCTCCTTTCAACTGTGTGTGTCCTAGAGTTGAACTTCTGTTGCAAGTCTGTGATTGAGGAGATCATCCTCTCTTTCGCTATAAAAGTGTGATCCATTTGCATTCTTGATTTCATCACTAAATGATCACATTTGTGTATGTCTTTCAGAATGCAGCTCTTCAGCATCTGTTTATTCGGAAGTCCTTCCGGCCTTTTAAATGCTTGCAGTGTGGGAAGGCCTTCCGGGAAAAGGACAAACTGGACCAGCACTTGCGTTTCCATGGGCGGGAGGGGAACTGCCCATTGACCTGTGATCTCTGTAACAAGGGCTTCATCAGCAGCGCATCCTTGGAGAGCCACATGAAGCTCCACTCAGACCAGAAGACTTACTCTTGCATTTTTTGCCCAGAATCCTTTGACCGCCTTGATTTGTTGAAAGATCATGTAGCCATTCATATCAATGATGGCTACTTCACCTGCCCAACTTGTAAGAAACGGTTCCCAGATTTTATCCAGGTGAGTGTCTACTACTGCGATTCCTGTCTGCTTCCTTCTTTTGGTAAAAGAAACTTCGATTTTTGGAAAACTGAGACTGCCTAGCACCTGCATTTTCATCCCTTCTTTGAAACAACTTTACAATTGAGAACAATATTTCTTCAATCAAACTACGTTTCTAAACAAAAGATTATTATGACCCTTAATTGTCCAGATCAGACATTGACATTGAAGTGTTTAAGTTATATTACGGGTAATAAACACCCAGATCTGTTATAATTTTTAAAAAGTCTTTCATAATCTTTATCAATATCTATTACTTATAAGATACACAGAGCCTGTAGAAGACATACTCCCATTTCCGAGGCTGGGAACATCTCCTCCCTACTACTGTGGTTTCCTGTCTTGCTTTACCAAGGCCATGCATTTTGGAAGGAAACAAAGAGAAAGTTGGTATATAATATACTTTTGTGTCAAGCAACGACCGCCTTCTCCCCTGTAGTGTATTCTTTGTTCGAGCAAAATGGATGAAGATAAATTTCAGAATATTCATAATTTCATTTGGACTTTAAGTGATAAGATTTTCCTATGCTAGTCAGTGAATAATGAAGCATTTTGTAAAAAGACTCTTTTTCAATTACCAAAGGAAAAGAAGACTAGGATTTAATTTTAGTTCTGCTCATGTTGAGAGTCTTGGAAATTTTCTCACTTCACGCAAACTAGGAGGAAGGTTGCTTTAAGGCATAATTTAATGGCAAAAGAAACTCCAAAAATAGTGAAGCAAACTGTCTTATGGGAATAGTTTGCTAGGACTCACTACTTAGCTTCCATCCTTAGCTCTTCTTCATTGGATATGTGTGGCTGGGAGAGTTCAGAAGCCCTATTCCTTTATTTATCTAAAAGTAAGGGAAGTAAGTCCTAGTTGAGAAATGACACCAGCTTCATATTGCTCTCATAAACCAGTAATGTCTCCTGTATCTTCTCATTCATGTCTTTAATTCTTCAGAACTTGATTTTATAAGATGTAAAAGGATCAAAAGGGGCTAAAGTGCTTCTATGCAGATTAAAGACGGAGAAAAGTAAGGAAGAATTGGTTTTTGTCTTCCTATCAATCCTTTTTAGCAAGATTCATTTAAACCCAAAGGAACTTTTGCTTTTTATCTTTGAAAAATGGGTTGCAAGTGATCAGGGTTTGACCAAGCGAGCACTCTGTCTCCCACATTTCAAGTCCTCTGGGAGGTTAGGATTTCTAAGGCTTTCTGGCTACTTGTTTTGTTTCTTTGTGACAGGGACAGTATGTGTTATTGAGGCCAATTATCACATCTGATTGGATTCCTCCGCGGGGTTGATGAAAACCCATGGTAATGCATTTGGCTCCCTCTAGCGTTGACAAGCTGCCTTTGGTCATTTCCTTTGGTGCCTGTGTCCCCTGAGTTTTTCCATGGTTTTTACTACCAGGTGAAAAAACACGTGCGCAGCTTCCACTCAGAAAAGATCTACCAGTGCACAGAGTGCGACAAGGCCTTCTGTCGCCCGGACAAACTGCGACTCCACATGCTCCGGCATTCGGACCGCAAAGACTTCCTGTGTTCCACCTGTGGGAAGCAATTTAAGGTATGACACGAAGACCCAGCCCAAGGTGGTTCTCGTGGCTGCTAGAATTATCGCAAGCTGAGGGTAAATGCCTGTTCATTTCATCGGTTTATCACCCAGTTCTGATGAACTGGACCTGAGATGCACTTTGGGCCTTGTGTTTGACTTAGTTATAAAATTAAGGGGGAAACTCACTTAATTCCTCAAAATAGTTAATTCAAATCCCCAAACAAGTAGAGTAAAAATGCATCTCCTAAAAGAATCCAAATGTATAATGACATTATAACTAAATTGCTGTTGAGATTTCCTAAGATACCAGTACCTTTACTTACCATTCAGATCAAGAGGTTTTTATTGAGCACTGGTTAAGAGCCAGTAATTGAGGTTCGCAGGCAGCAGGACTCTGATCTGATACAGGTGGGAAATCTGAAGAATGCTGAGAAGGCTTAGACTACTTTGGAGAATGTTAATGACCTCCAAGATTAAAGTAAAATGTAGTAAGTATCAGTAACCCACCTGGAACTGAAAAGAAGCCAAGCAAAACCCTGCAGGGGACCCAGAAATAAGAGTTAAATAAATAAATGTAAAAACAATGAAATATGCTTCATTGGAAAATCAGGTGATTCTGCAAAAATGTCATTGGAAGCCATTCTGCTGAATATGATTGTAGGTCACACTCTCATAGAAATTGGAAAAGAATCAAATGGATTTAGCAGAGGAAAATTAAGGGTATATTTATAACAAATGGAAAGAAATTAAAGAGAAATAGAATTTTCAAAGCTTGCTTTATGTTGAAGTGTGTTACAGAATATAATCTAATGGCTTTTAATGTATAGTAGCACAATTTAGAATTCTGTAGAGAACTCCAGTGTGAAAAGTATAAATAGGTCTGGGGTTTTTCTGTTCTTAAATTTAAAAAAAAATTATATCTAAAAATATTCCTGTTTTGTGATACTGTTTGGCCATCCATCCATCCCATCCAGCCAATATTTTTTTGATTTTTCATTTTGTGCCAGATACCATATTTTAACACCTTGGAATTCTTTTTTTAATGTCTCTGCTTGCTTTCATTTTCTCCCTTACTTTCACCCAGTACTTTCATCACAGTTCAATCAGAGAAGCAGAGCCACTATGAGTGTTAAAGAAGATGATTTTCTTATAGGACTAAGAATGTAATTTTAGAAGATGGAGAAGTAAGGGTCAGAAGGGAGAAGCTGGGAGGTTGGAACTCGGCAGTATGCCCACAGAAGCATTGGTCTGGGTGGTCAAATCGGAACTTACCTGGGACTCTGGGAACCAGGCACCTCCACCTGCAGGGGGGCCCAGGAAGGAGAGCTGGTGCAGTTTGTGGAAGACCGTGTCACTGCAGCTGGTGGCAGATGTGGAGCTGGCCAGCAGGGCTGGCAGTAAGGGAGACAACTGGTGGCTGGGTGGGAAAGAGAGGAAAAGTAGGGACCCACAGGTACTCTACTTGACACCATCTAGAGCAGCATGGGGCTGCGCTTCCTTTCCACCTTCCAGGCTGGTGTGAGTTTCTCTTTGGCTAACCCCCAACTCCGCACCATTTTGGGAAGGAGATTCTCTTCAAATGTAGTTCCTCTTAGCCAAGTTGACACAGCACAAAACCACTACCTTCCTAGCATATTTTCAAACTAGAATCAGAGTAGTTTTTCTAGAGAACAGCTCTGATGCCATGTCCTTTCCAAAAGGAAATAGCTCGTCATGCAAATAAATCTCTAAGTTCTTGTTACTTCTAAGATGCTACAAGACCTGCCTCCTGGCAGCCTCTCTGGTTCCCGCCTCCCTGTGCACTCAGGGTGACCTGCCTGAACTATAGTTTCATCCGTGTGGCATACTCTCTCTCCTTGGGCCTTTGTACTTTTTCTCCCTTTTACTCCTCACTCGAAACATACTTTCAAACTGTCGTATTCCGTCACCTGGCTAACGTCACTTCATATGTGGCATTTCCTGATCGCTGGATTAAGTGCTGCTTCTCCCATGAATTTCCACAGGGCTTTTCCTGGTGACCGTGTCATAGCATTTGTGTATAGCAGTTGCCCATCCTGCTAAGTGTAAGCTCCATTGAGGGCAGCATTAGAGTCAAGGTGGGACTTTCTGACTTTAGGGAGCTCACACTAGCATAGAGAAAAGAATAAAGTGCTGTGAGAGGTTTCACTGGTTTGGGATGTAGGGGAGATGTCATAGATACAGTGACACTTCTGAATCTACTCATGGATGGGAAAGAGTTTGCCAGCTAGGGAAAGGGAAAGGTGAGGAGTGAGGGAGGGATATCAGCATCTCAAGCAGAGGGAGCAGCAGGGATGTGGCAATGCCATGATCAGGAGGATAGGGGGAGTAATGGAGGGCATGGCAAGAGGAAGCCAAGGAAGCAAGTTAAGCCAACACGCTGTGCTAAGTAATTAGACTTACCAGGAAGTGAGCCCTAGGCATTTCAGAGCTGGGCTAATTCAGGCCGAGGCAGTGGGTGTGGAGAAGAGGGGCCATGTTCAAGACAGGCATTGTGGGAGGCTAACAAGACCTTGCACTTGGATGAAAGAGAAGGGTGGACAGCAAGGAATGGAGATTTGCCACTTGAGAGGCTGGATGTTTGGGACACCACCGGTACCAAAAAGCATGATTTAGGCAGAAGGAGTGGGGGCAGATAGCAGATTTGGTTTGGGGGCTGTTAGGATGGAAAGACCTCATGGAGATTTGGCATCCAACAAATGTGTGCTTGTCACGATGTGCATGGTGTGATATTTGAGTTAGGCTTTGCAATTTACGTGGTGATTCAGATAAGGTAAACTGGTTGTTTAAAGGGAATAGATGGGGGAACTAGTGGATGTTGAGGCTTGGAAAAAAGTGGAAATTTGGGAGGATTGGAGGAGGAGGAAGAGGAAAAGAAAAATAAAGTGGCAACGCAACAGTGTTTCATCGCTGTATCTACACTAAAGAAAGATACCGTCATTTGGCAGTGTCCTTAACCCAAATCCCACTGCAGTCTACGAAGCTCTGAACATTCCCTCCTGGGCTTTCCAGAAATGAAGGCAGGTGGGTTAGGAAGAAAGAGGAGTTGGATCATATGCATTGCAGCAGAAGAGGGAGGGAAGCCTGGCACTGGAGCTTGATACTTAGTAGGCATTCAAGGAATATTTGTTGAGTAAATGCGCTGAAAAAGGAAGTCCTTAAAAAAGCCCCTGTGCCAAAAGGTGGGAAGGGCTGGGTTTGTAGAAAGGCTCAGAATCTTTACAGGACTAATAACAGTTTATTCATATGTCCTAGAGCAGAAAGCCTCACTGGATCAGGGAGCTGGCACTGTGTTTTTATTTGGGATGGGCTCTGTCTAATTCTCTCCACAGACTCACATGAGCATGCATCACTAGATAGTGAAACCAGGAGCTGAGCTCTGGGTCCCATGCTCCATCCATAGTACACAATGGATTTGTTTACTTAAAATTCTAATTCTGTAAGGTGAGAGGTTCTAAATCCATAAGATAAGAGATTCTTAAATTCTTTTGGGATTTAGAAAAATATGTTTGCTAAAATGTGTGGGAATTGAGTGTATACATGACTTTTTTTTTTTTTTTTAAGACAGAGCCTTGCTCTGTCAGCTTCCTAAGTAGCAGGGATTGCAGGTACCAGCCACACACCCAGCTAATTTTTGTATTTTTAGTAGAGACAGGGTTTTGCCATGTTGGCCAGGCCGGTCTCAAACTCCTGACCTCAGGTGATCCGCCTGCCTCTGCCTCCCAATGTGCTGGGATTACAGGAGTGAGCCACTGCATCCGGACTACATATGGCTTCCAAAATCCGGTGTTACCTTTTATTCATTATCGATTTGTCTTTAGTTCTTTTATACCAGGCTTATTCCATGTTCTCTTTGATCTTCTCTACGTAAGTGCAGTCTTATTCTCAAAAGTCAGTATGTACTTTCCTATTTAATGGTCATTTTAAACCAAGGCTCATTGGAATGCACACATTTGCTAGTGAACAGAGTAACTCCCAGCCACTTTTAACATGTCTTCCTATGTCCTAGTGTTCCAGTAACTCAGATGTCTCTTGGAGGCTTGTGGTGACTGCTAATTTGTATTGATTTTTAAAATTATCCCTTCAGTTAAAATTTTTCTACCCCCACGTCTACCCCATTTAAAAAAATTCTCTCTAAATAGCGAAAAGACAAACTACGGGAACACATGCAGAGGATGCATAATCCTGAGAGGGAGGCCAAGAAAGCCGACCGCATCAGCCGCTCCAAGACGTTCAAGCCTCGCATCACATCCACAGACTACGACAGCTTCACGTTCAAGTGCCGCCTGTGCATGATGGGTTTCCGGCGGCGCGGCATGCTGGTCAGTGTCAAGTGGCTGTGGGTTCCTGTCTTCCCTGCACACCTCATTTCTGTCGATGATGGTCACTTTTGTGTTGTATTCTGTGCTAAGTTATGTTGATCAATGGTTTTGTCAATGTCCAGGGGAAGAAACAGAGGGAAACAATTCCCAATTTGGAGTTCTCTCTTTTCTAGTTTCCCTTTGCCCTTTCTTGCTGCTTTTTGGGTCAATCCTTGCAAGAGGTCTTTTTCCATCATTTTTCATTACTAGTTTTGTTTTTCTTTTCCCATCTCAATCTCTGCGCTCACCCTATTTTATTTCCTTCTTTTGTGTTCCTGTATGTATTTTATTTTGGGATATTTGCCTTCTCCCCAGCTGTTCCCTTTTATTTTATTTATTTTTGAGATGGAATTTCACTTTTGTTGCCCAGGCTGGAGTACAATGGTGAGATTTTAGCTCACTGCAACCTCCCCCTCCCAGGTTCAAGTGATTCTCTTGCCTCAGCCTCCTGAGTAGCTGGCATTACAGGCGCCTGCCACCATCCCTGGCTAATTTTTTAATTTTCAGTAGGGATGGGATTTCACCATGTTGGCCAAGCTGGTCTCAAACTCCTGACCTCAGGTGATCCACCTGTCTCGGCCTTCCAAAGTGCTGGGATTACAGGTATGAGCCACTGTACCTGGCCCCCAGCTATTCCTTTTTAATGCCTCTCTTTTCCAGATAGTAAACAGCAGTAGAAGGAAGCTTTCCATCAAAGCAGGGTATGTGCATCCAGGTTAGCTGAAGGATTAAGACAGCCTGTGCTCTGCTCTCAACTCATTTTGACCTTGTTACAGGTGCAGAATGTATTTCTGCCAGGAGCTGGAAAGTCATAGAGCAATATTTAAAATTCAGAACCTTAGTCTGTATCTCATTCCATGTTCTTAGTAAGGATAGGACGTTAAATAATGAAAGACAGGTTTGCATGAGGAGAATTCACCAAAGAAATTCATACCAGTGTAATTTTCCTTTTTCTAACAGTAGTTCTTTCAGCCAAAGACTGTTGATGGCTGAATTCACCACATTGAATTCACCTTCGATTGTTTGGTGAATTATTGTTAACTCCTGTTAATCACGACTGTGAGTGCTTTGGTGTCAGTTGGGTCTGGTGGTGCTGGTTCTGGGCAAATGCCTTATTATTTGGGAGCTTTGCTTCAGAGAATGTCAGCTTCTGGCGGTCATTATCAGAGGCATTTGTGCAGCTTCTGTTTGGTTAATGGGGTCCCTTTTTCTCATTTGCTCTTTGTTTTCACTTCAGGTAAATCACTTATCAAAGAGACATCCAGACATGAAGATAGAAGAGGTGCCAGAGTTAACTCTACCCATCATAAAACCCAATCGTGATTACTTTTGTCAGTATTGCGATAAGGTAAAAGGGAAATATTCATGCCTCTGGGGTTGCTGAGAGCTGACTTGTCTACATTTATGAATACGTACTACGATTTTTTTTGTTATTCTTACCAGATGGTTCCCTGTCTCTCAGTAGTCTCCATTCAGACAAGAAAGGACTAAAATTGGTCTTATTTTAAGCCAATTTTTTTTTCTTAAGAAATAATTGGCCGGGCGCGGTGGCTCAAGCCTGTAATCCCAGCACTTTGGGAGGCCGAAGCGGGTGGATCACGAGGTCAAGAGATCGAGACCATCCTGGTCAACATGGTGAAACCCCGTCTCTACTAAAAATACAAAAAATTAGCTGGGCATGGTGGCGCGTGCCCAGCTACTCAGGAGGCTGAGGCAGGAGAATTGCCTGAACCCAGGAGGTGGAGGTTGCGGTGAGTCAAGATCGCACCATTGCACTCCAGCCTGGGTAACAAGAGCGAAACTCCGTCTCAAAAAAAAAAGAAGAAAAAATAATTGACTTCATTTTTCTTACTGTCCCTTCTCTCTGTGATTTTTGTTACACAAGAAGAGGCTTATTACATTACTAAGTGCCTACCGTGTGAATTAATTTCAAATTCCTAGGCTCTAAAACAAGAGTGTTTATCATATGGCCTATAAAATATATTGTAGATTTGGGGTTTCTATAAGGTGGAAGAGGTTGGGAAAGCTTTGTGGTGGAGTACTCTACTTATACTATTCTGTTATTTTTGTGTAGTTACAGAAAAGACAGAGAATATGTATTTATTGTTTCACTGTAATATTGTTTACCCCCCTCTTTTTTTTTTTTTTGAGACAGAATCTTGTTCTGTCTCCCAGGCTGGAGTGCAGTGGCATGATCTCAGCTCACTGCAAACCTCCACCTCCTGGGTTTGAGTGATTCTCCTGCCTTAGCCTCTTGAGTAGCTGGGATTACAGACCCCTACCACCACACCTGGCTGATTTTTGTATTTTTAATAGAGACGGGGGTTCACCATGTTGGCCAGGCTGGTCTTGAACTCCCGACCTCAGGTGATTCCCCCCACCTTGGCCTCCCAAAGTGCTGGAATTACACACATGAGCCACCACGCCCAGCCATCCTTTCCTTATATAATGTAGCTATATCAGTTTAAAAGTGAGAAACATTTTTGAACATAGATTCCCCACTAAAGATAGCAGTTGCTATTGACATTGCCATTTGGAAGATTCTCTGGCTCCTGGTCTTCAGCTGCATATATCATGAGAGCTTTCACAGGCAGCTCTCGTGAAGTAGTTGGGCCTTAAAAACAGTTCTCTTCCCGTGTCTGTGTATCATATCCAAATTTTAAACTTGAGGATAAAGGTATTTTTACAGTTATTATCTTAGATTTATAAATCAAAGGAAGAAACCTAGCATATCTACATTATGTTCTTGTTTTATTCTAATTTATAGTATATCCTTGTTGTCCTTCAATAGATCTGTTTATATATATGTGCTGGACATATATATAGTTTCTTTGGGGCTACATGAATACTTTTCCTCATTTTCTTATAACGAAATTGTTAGTTTGCTTCAAGCAAGAAAGTGGAACTGTACACTGCTTTCATAGCCAGGCATTTGCATTTGCAGGTTTATAAAAGTGCCAGCAAGCGCAAAGCCCACATTCTGAAGAACCACCCAGGAGCAGAGCTGCCACCGAGCATTCGGAAACTCCGGCCCGCTGGTCCTGGAGAGCCAGACCCCATGCTGAGCACACACACCCAGCTGACAGGCACCATCGCCACCCCTCCCGTCTGCTGTCCCCACTGCTCCAAGCAGTACAGTAGCAAGGTAGGGAGAGTTTCTGAGGTCAAACCCGCCGTGTAAGGACTCTTAAGGGAAGATGGCTTCTCATCCACATGGCCTGGATGGCTCCTTCTGAGTTGACAGAGCACTGAAAGAGACGTTGTCCTAGTCCCTGTAAACAGGGACCACAGCAGAGAATGGAAAGAGAATACTGCAGGACCTTCCCCAGAATTAGTGTTGAACAACAGCTCAAGCAGCTGACTGTTTTTCTTTTCCCTTGGCCTGCAGAGGGCCTCATATTTGAATATTCTGTGCTCATATTTGGTGAGTTTAGGCTTATGGAAGCACCACATAGAAAGTTAAGTGATGGTTTTAGAAAGGAGGCCATTTTGGCTGGGGGCATTATGATTGATTGCTGCAGGTACTAGTTACGGGGGGTATTCGGGTATTCGGACCTTGCTCATGCTGTGGGGTCAAGTGAGGCTTTGCTTCTTCCCCACCCTCTTTCCTGCTTCTATAGCATTATATTACCCCAGGAAGTACAAGCATAGCATCAGTGTTGCTCTGATATTTCTTTTTTTAAGACATAAGATAACGGACTTTAGGAATCTTTGGAGGATTTACATATGAGAAAAATGGAAAATCACAAATTCTAATAATTATTCTTGTTTTTTGCCTTTCTTTTTCAGACCAAAATGGTCCAGCACATTCGAAAGAAGCATCCAGAGTTCGCCCAGCTCTCCAACACCATACACACACCACTGACGACAGCTGTGATCAGTGCCACCCCAGCAGTTTTAACTACAGACAGCGCCACTGGAGAGACCGTGGTGACGACGGACCTGCTCACCCAAGCAATGACAGAACTGTCCCAGACCTTAACGACAGACTACCGAACGCCACAGGGGGATTACCAGAGAATTCAGTACATCCCTGTGTCGCAGTCAGCATCTGGCCTCCAGCAGCCTCAGCACATACAGCTTCAAGTGGTGCAAGTGGCCCCGGTACTATGTGCCTCGGTTTCCCTTTTCCTTATGAATGCCGTATTGCCACCAGCACCTCATTCTCAGAGCTGGGGCTGGGATCTATGTAATGTTCTTCTGCGTGGAAGTTCTGAGCCTTGGGCATTTGTAAAATGCCCCTTCCCCTTTCAGGCTAATGAGGCCTCTGGCCTTAGCAGTGTAAGAGATTTCTGTCTATAGTAGTCAGGAGATTTTAGGCTCCAGCACTTACAAGCCTCCTGTGCTGTGGCAGGACAGTAGCCACAGCACCTGTTTCTGAGCCTCTTCTGAATCCTTATCTTTTACCATCCTGGCTGGCTACTTGGTAATGAGCCAGTTTGATAAATCACAACCTGCGTATCAAATGTCTTATATCAAAGAGAGGTTATAAAGAACAATATTGATGGCCGGGCACAGTGGCTCAGGCCTGTAATTCCCGCACTTTGGGAGGCCGAGGTGGGCAGATCTCTTGAGGTCAGGAGTTCAAGACCAGCCTGGCCAACATGGCAAAAACCTGTCTGTACTGAAAATACAAAAATTAGCCAGGTGTGGTGGCAGGTGCTTGTAATCCCAGCTACTCAGGAGGCTGGGGCAGAAGAATTGCTTGAACTTGGGAGGCAGAGGTTGCAGTGAGCTGAGATCACACCATTGCACTCCAGTCCAGGCAATAGAGTGAAACTTTGTGTCGAAAAAAAAAAGGAATAATATTCAATCTCTGAGTATCAGTCAGTGCCTTCTTAGTAAAGAAGTAAAACTGTGTTTCTTCTACCAGATAATGAAGAACTGATTCTTATTGACTAAGGAGCTAAATGAAAGAATTCTCCCAAAACTATTGTTTCATTTAATTACACTGAGGAGAAGTGTCCCCAGGGCACAAATGAACAAACTTGTTGCTTTGAAATCATTTGGTCTCTGAAAATTTAAAACTAACATGGGAACAGGACATTGGAAGTTGCCACTGTCATTGACTGTTCTTTATCTTGTTTTTCTTGTGGAGGGTTTTTAACTTTAGGCTTTGGAGGAACTTCGGAGTCCCTCAAGCTGTCTGTAAAGTATGATGTATAGGTACATCGTTCTAGAAAAAGGGCCTGCACTTTAGCCACTGTTTCAAAGATGTTCTTGGTACATAAAAGGTTAAGGACCACTGTTCTAGTGGGTTAATAGTGACAAACTAAAAGCAAATTCTCTTCTTTGGTCTCTTTTAATTGATAAAGGGTAGATCATTAAATGCAACTGAAATTTTTGATTCCCGACAACTTTTTCAGCTTATTTTCAGAACTATCTTCCCTCTGTCCTTCTCTTCCAGAATCTAATAACATTAGTGGCTTATGTGTTAGAAGCATAGTTCTTTAAACAATATTTTTCTATCCTGTTGTCTGGTTTGGCCTAGGTGTGGCCTCTCCGGGAGTGCAGCATTGGAACTGAAATTCCTTCCATTCTTCTATTTCTGTTGGCGTATATTGGGATATTGGTTTTGCTTTTTTTTTTTTTTTTTTTCTGAAACAGGGTCTCACTCTGAAGTGCGGTGGCACAATCATGGTTCACTGCAACCTCAACCTCCCAGAGTCAGATATTCCTCCCACCTCTGCCTCATCAGTAGCTGGGACTATAGGCATGCCATCATGCCTGGCTAATGTTTTTATGAGATGGAGTCTCTCTGTTGCCCAGGCTGGAGTGCAGTGGCATGATTTCAGCTCACTGTAACCTCTGCCTCCCATGTTCAAGTGATTCTTCTGCCTCAGCCTCCCAAGTAGCTGGGATTACAGGCACACCCACCGCTATACCCAGCTAATTTTTTTATTTTTAGAGGAGACATTTCACTATGATGGTCAGGCTGGTCTCGAACTCCTGACCTGAAGTGATCCCTCCGCCTCAGCCTCCCAAAGTGCTGGGATTATAGGCATGAACCACCACGCCCAGCTACCTGGCTAATTTTTGTATTTTTTTGTAGAGACAGGGTTTTGCCATGTTGCTCAGGCTGGTCTCGAAATCATGGGTTCAAGTGATCCACCTGCCTTGGCCTCCCAAAGTGCTGGGATTATAGGCCATGAGCCACTGCCCCCAGCCAGGATATTGTTTTTAACTGAACCTTTTCTCTAGAAGGATTTCCCTTAACCTCAATCAATATATATCTGGTTTCTGGGCCTGTTTTTTCTCCGTCCAGGCCACCTCCCCTCACCAGTCGCAGCAGTCCACTGTGGATGTCGGCCAGCTCCACGATCCTCAGCCCTACCCCCAGCATGCCATCCAGGTGCAGCACATCCAGGTCAGCGAGCCCACCGCCTCGGCCTCATCCTCGGCCCAGGTACCCTGTTCCACAGACTATTTGGAGGCATTAGCATGGCCTCAGGGACTATCGTAGTTAATGAGAGGGAGGACTTTCTCTTTAGACCTTGGCTACTGAGATACTGTTGTTTCTGGATTTTGTATTAAAGGATCTTACCTTTACCTCCAATTTTTATATTGGTATTGTGGACACATATTAAGCTATTGGCTGCTTCTGCCCACTTGGAGCCCTGTGATATGACATCCTAGAAACAACAGTGGCCTTTGCTTTCCATTCTAAATGCAATGATTTGGAATAGTGGCTTTGTGGAGTATTATGGTATATTGTATGTTACTGTGTTTGTATGCTTGAGTATGGTATTAGATACATAGATACATTCTCGGAGTTCAGAGAGGAGAGATTAGATTTAGGAGATAATCCAGGGCATTTTTGTAGAAGAAGCTGTCTTTGAAAGAGTTTTGAAGGAGGGGTACAGTTTCGACATAATAGTTGGGGAAGGCATTCTGATCTGAATAAGCTCATGCTGTGATGGAAAACGTACATTAATGTGGTATAAATGTACATTTATAGCAAAGAGTTATTCTGTTTAGATTACTAACAGGAAATGGTGTCTGGAAAGGAAGATGGGAGCATAGTTTGGAGCGAGATTGCAGTGTGGCAGCTGGAGAGCACCGGCCTCAGCCTGTTGTCAGGAGTTCACTGACCTGTGCCAAACTCCGCGAGCCAGGCGGGATTAGCCAGTGCTGGTTAATGGAAGTGATGAACTCTGGGTTCTGTTTCATTTTGTGTTCCAGATTAGCTTTGTGACACAGGCAAGCTATTTCGTCTCCCATTATTTTTAACCTTATATAATGTAGGTAATTATATATTTTTTCATTCATCTTTGTAACAACTTGATTGAAATTAATTTTTTGCACACTCTGGTAGAGAATCCTTTGAAAACAAATTAGAATTTCATAGTCATGCTTGCTTTTCATTGATTTTATTCTTATTTAAAATATTATTTTCAATAATGGCAATGATAGTTTCAGTATTATAACTCATATTAGTCTGATTTACTTCCTTCAGTTATTTGTAAGTCTTCTATATATTAGAAGTTTGTAATTCCCTACCATTGCTTTCTGTTTCTCCCCAGGTATCTGGGCAGCCACTGAGTCCCTCAGCCCAGCAGGCTCAGCAGGGACTCAGCCCCTCCCACATCCAGGGCAGTTCTTCCACACAGGGCCAGGCTATGCAGCAGCAGCAGCAGCAGCAGCAGAATTCCTCTGTGCAGCACACGTACCTGCCCAGCACTTGGAATTCCTTCCGTGGCTATTGTAAGTAAGATGGGACAATGCCGTGTAGGTCAGAGGTGGTGTCAGAACTTCTTCAGCTTTATGATAAAATTTTAAAGTATCTATTGGCCATTTTTTACACTCTGTAGTGCATGTACTTCAGTGAGTTTCATGACGAAACTCAAGGTCTAGCATTCTGATTCAGGGAGCTACCCTGATATGACATTTTTGAAACGTCAGGTATATTGCTGGAGGAAATGCAGCTGTGTAATTTAAATAGTAAGATAGATGGATATACTCTATGTTGACGGTGCTGATTCATCCTTTCCACCAGTATTTGTAGAATGCCTGTATATCAATCACTGCACTAGGCCCTGGCTATACCAAGATTAATATTCTCATTTATATCAGTAACACCACGCAATAATAATGTTAACCAACTTTCATTAAGCTCTTGCTATATTGCCCGGAATGATTCTGAACCATGTATAACACAGTCAGTATTCACAACAACCTATGAGGCAAGTGCAATTGTTATTTGCATTGTACAGATAAGACAGTTTTCACACTCTCACTTTTTCCAAGAGCTAGTAAACAGAGGTTTGGAACCCCAGCAGTCTGGCTTCAGAGTGTGGACTCTAAACCACCCCACTCTGCTGCTGCTCCAAAGAAAATAGTCTTTGGCTCAAAGAGACCATCATCTAGTAAGAGAGAGAGATAAGTAGTTGATTCCAAAACCCTGAGCTTCATCTATGGAAACAGTAACCGGCTGACTGACAGAGGTCAGAGAAGGTAAACACCTTGGTGGGGAAACAGCTTTGAGTGTAGGTCAGGAAGCATGAGACCTTTATCATGGAAGATACGGAAGGAATAGGAGTAGAGGAAACAGACCTCAGTAGTCGCAAGTAGGAGGAGTAGGTGCTGAGAAGGGAGAAAGGTCAGTGTTGATCTTTCTTCTGTTGATTTCTTTTTGGGTGGCCTGTCTTTGTCATGATTGAGCCTTGGCTATGTTATATAGATTTGCTGCAGAGTCAGGTTCAAACTCTACCATCTAGTTATTTTTACAATCTGTATTTTTTTTTTGAGACAGAGTCTTACTTTGTTGAACCAGGCTGGCGTGCAATGGTGCAATCTCGGCTCATTGCAACCTCTGCCTCCCGGGTTCAAGCAGTTCTCCTGCCCCAGCCTCCTGAGTAGCTGGGATTACAGGTGCACGCTACCACACCTGGCTAATATTTGTATTTTTAGTAGAGACAGGGTTTCACTGTGTTGGCTAGGCTGGTCTCGAACTCCTGACCTCAGGTGATCCACCCACCTCAGCCTCCGAAAGTGCTGAGATTACAGGTGTGAGCCACCATGCCTGGCCATAATCTATACTCTTAAACAAATTAGGGGTCACAACGAGGGCTGGGTCTAGTTTCCAGTCGGGGAAGGACTGTTTTACCTGTAGAATCTGGTGAACAGACTGACCTCTGTACTCAGTATAATTCCTGTGACAGAAAGTGGAGTGGGCCGGGCACGGTGGTTCACGCCTGTAATCCCAGCACTTTGGGAAACTGAGGCAGGCGGATCACTTGAGGTCAGGATTTCGAGACCAGCCTGACCATCATGGTGAAACCCCATCTATGTTAAAAATACAAAAAAATTAGCCAGGTGTGTTGGTGGGCATCTGTAATCTCAGCTACTCAGAAGGCTGAGGCAGGAGAATTGCTTGAACCTGGGAGGTGAAGATCATGCCACTGCACTCTAGCCTGAGCAACAGAGCAAGACTCCATCTCAAAAAAGAAAAAAAGAAAAAGTGGAATGATGAAGATACTCATGGTAATAATAGGAGGAGTTGGGATTCTAATCTGTAGAAAAATTCTGGGACTGAATTTATTAGGAAAAAATATAAAAACATAAAAGTAGAGAGAGGGGTGTGATGAGCCATCCTATACCCATTGACCAGCCTCAGCAGTTACCAACTTACACCCAGGCTTGTCTCATATATGCGCCCATCATTATCTCCCATCCTCCAACTGAATAATGATTCTTCGTATCACCTCATCCGTAAATATTTTGGTATATATCTCTAAAAGAAAAAGACTATTTGAGACAGGGTTTTGCTCTGTTGTTCAGGCTGGAGAATGCAGTGGCATGATCATGGCTCACTGCAGCTCTGATCTGGGCTCAAGTGATCCACCCACCTTAGACTCCCCAAGTGCTGGGTTTACAGGTGTGGGCCACCACATGTGATCTAATTTTTAAAATTTTTTGTAGAGCCAGGGTCTTACTATATTGGCTAAGTTGGTCTCAAACTCCTGGGCTCAAGTGATTGTCCTGCCTTGGCTTCCCAAAGTGCTGGGATTACAGGCATGAGTCCCTGTGCCTGGCCATGATTCTAGCATCCATATTCATTAGCTAGAAAACTTTTATAAATAAAAAATTTTGCCTAACTACCCAGTTACTATCAGGTACACTTTGTACAAGAAAGGCAGGACAAATGCTTTAAATACGTGATTCATTTCCTTTGTTTACCAAATATCCTTTGTGGATATTGAGAAGCCACATTTGAAGGGGAATGCACTGACTGTCTCTGACACTGGGTAGCTGCATACCAGCCTGTTCTCAATTAGCAGAGATGCTTTCACTGTACCAAGAAATCACATCATTGTGAGACTCTCGTGGCAAGCAAATCAGTGGGGACTGTGGTGGCTACTGGTTCTGTTTTTGTTTCTAAAACTTGTGTTAAAATCTGAGACCACTGAACTTTGAATATTTCCTGTTTTTTAGCATCTGAGATTCAAATGATGACGCTTCCCCCAGGTCAGTTTGTGATTACAGACAGTGGTGTGGCAACTCCAGTTACTACTGGCCAGGTGAAGGCGGTTACTCCGGTAAGCTACGCTACTCAGTCGGGTTTTTCCTGTCTGACCTGTGGTGCCATACAATAACTCTTATCACCACTTATGTTTTAATGATTGGCTTTCTCTGTTTTCTCACAGTAGATGATGAATTCTTTGACAGCTGGGTCTTGGGCTTTATCACTTTATCCACAGTGCCCTGTTCAAGAGGTTAGGATATAGCAAATGCTCAATAAGTATCTGTTCAATTAATAACGGTAATGGTCCTAGCTCCATCCCTATGAGGGGTTTTTTTTTTTTTTTTTTTTTTTGAGAAAGAGTCCTCTGTCGCCAGGCTGGAATGCAGTGGCATGATCCCAGCTCACTACAACCTCCACCTCCTGGGTTCAAATGATTCTTGTGCCTCAGCCTCCCAAGTAGCTGGGATTACAGGCGGGCACCACCATACCTGGCTAATTTTTGTATTTTTAGTAGAGATGGGTTTTCACTATATTGGCCAGGCTGGTCTCAGATTCTCTACCTCAGGTGATCCACCCACCTCTGCCTCCCAAAGTGCTGAGATTACAGTTGTGAGCCACTGCGCCCGGTCCTTATGGGTGCTTTTATGTGCTTCTTGGAAAGAATGAGTCCTCAAGACAATTGGCCCACAACTGGGTTGGGAGAGAATAATAAAATAAATCAATTATGGCTGTATTAAACATTTCACCCACCCGAAGGTGAAAAACATTGCCATAAGTTATCTAAGTTGGGCAGGTACAATGTTGATTGTATCTCCTTTTTCTGTTTTTACCTTCTCTGGTTTGTTCTGACCTGCCTCTAAGTTATTAGAAGACAGAATACATACATATGAATTTAGAAAAATTCTCTTGATTAGGCACAGTGGCTCATGCCTATAATTCTGACACTTTGGGAGGCCAAGGCAGGCAGACCACTTGAGGTCAGGAGTTCAAGACCAGACTGGCCAACATGGTGAAACCCTGTCTCTACTAAAAATATAAAAATTACCTGGGTGTGGTGGTGCACCCCTATAATCCCAGCTACTTGGGAGGCTGAGGCAAGAGAATTGCTTGAACCTGGGAGGTGGAGGTTGCGGTGAGCAGAGATCATACCACGGTGCTCTAGCTTGGACAACAGAGTGAGACTCTGTCTCAGAAAAGACAAAAAAGGGAAAATACTCCTGGATGGATAAGTTCTGGAGACCTAGGGTACAGCATACTAGCTGTGTTCTCAATAATGTATGGTATACTTGAAATCTGTTAACATAGTATAGATAATATTTTTCCACAAAAAAAAAAAGAAGGTAAGTGCATGAGTCGATGGATATGTAAATCAGGTTGATTTGTTTAATTATACCTTAATAAAGCTAGTTGAGAGGAAAAATGATCTTCAATGGCTGGGAATATTAAGATATTCCCAAGGGAAGACTTTCTTAGAGGTTTCAGAGGGTAGCTAGCTAGACTAGAGGCCTCAAAAACCTGATTTTTTTCTTTCTCTTTTTTTTTTTTTTAAAGTACACTGAGAGCTCACCTGTTTCTCAGCACACAAGGTCATATTAACTAGACTTAGGAGAGATATGCAAATCCATAGTAACACTATTAATTGTCAGTGAAAACAGTAACAAATGTAAAATGAAATAATTACATTGCCATGATCAGGGCATTTTTTTTTTTTTTGCTCCCTGTAGGACCCATTGACTTTGACCTTTTTCTGGCCTGGAACTCATTCGAGAACAGTTGTAGCCAAGGTTGTTTCTCTTTCCCTGCCACAGTTTACTTGCACACTAATTTAATGTACATTTTCAGGGGTTTGTGTATTCTCTGTAGCCCACCTATGGACCCCCTAGGAGTCAGTGGGGTTGAGAACTAGCCCCCTCCCCACATGGAAAAGCCAATCATAATCAGAACGTTGCTTGCTGGGGTGAACTCAGAACATCTGACCCTAGAGGAATCAAATGGGTATTTGATGATGGCTGTTTTCAGGGAAGTGCAAAGACGCTACTGCCTGAGAGTCTCTCTGTGACGTCTCTTTTCCTCTGTTCTGTAGCTGACCAACCCTCCTTCTGACTGACAGACACATTTCTTTAAAAATGTTAATGTAACAAAATAGCCAGCTACAGGTCTATGAAGATGTTTTCATGATGAGGGGAAAAAATAAGAAAACAAAGACAATGTGTAAGTTTTCATAAAGCTAAATTTCTTCAGTGTAAGGGATTTTATTCTGAGATACTGTTGTTTCTGTGCTCAGTGTTAAAATGTCTATTTGATGGTAGCATGTTTTAAATGACCTTACTTGACAAAATAAAATTTGGGGACCATTTATTATTTTTTAAGATTTTGCTGGTCTTTTGAAATTCTGAAGTCTGAGATCTTCACTACCAGTCTTCAGGGGCATTCTGCCTCTTCAGTGAGGCTTGAAATATCTCTTCTTTGATCCATTCTAGTGAACCGTCTTTTCTGGATTTGTGAATTCTCAGGAGCATTACAACAGCACGTTCTGTTTGCCTCTTATGTTGCCACCATGATGCAAATTACTGTACCTGAAGTTTTTCACTGTATCATTTGCTGAAACTGCTAAGGTGCTGCTTTAAGGCACTTACCTTTGTAGTCAGTTATTGTGACTGATCCGCCCTCTCTAAAGGACTTAGGTAAAGCATCTCTCATAGATGCCTATTTTGGGTCCCTTATGACATTTCTTCACATTTCTCTTCTTCTCCAATAGCTTCACCCTCCCTTTAAGGCCCCAGGTGTTTAAAGATCCTTTTCTTCCTCCTCTAGGGTCATTATGTGTTATCAGAAAGTCAACCAGAATTGGAAGAAAAGCAGACTTCTGCCCTTTCTGGTGGAGTCCAGGTCCAGCCACCTGCACACAGTGACTCCTTGGACCCCCAGACCACCAGCCAACAGCAGACCACACAGTACATCATCACCACCACCACCAATGGGAACGGAAGCAGTGAAGTGCACATCACCAAACCATAACTTCTACTCTGGAGGTCGAATCCAGCACCCACCTCATGTCTGTTCTCATTCATAAGTCTGAAAGCTCTAACACTTAGAACTCTTTTGTAAGATTTATTATTCACTCAAGAGTTTGGAAACAGCAGTTTCGTCTCTCATCCATACACTGAGGTTTATTTTGCCAAGGTCATCTTTATCAAACTCATTCTTTAAACCCTGTTTTTGCCACGGAATGGAGGTCTTTCAGGGGAAAGTAGATTACGAGATGGAGAGAATTGGACTTGCTCTTGGGTTGGTTTTTTAACACGCTGACAAGCCTTACTTTTCCTTTGTGGAAATATTGAGTGGCGTATTCATACCAAAGGTGAAGAAAGGATGTGCCAAGTCCATGGTTACCAGACTTCTTATTCCAAGCCATGGCACTGAAGGAGAAGGGGCATTTTGTGGGTGTGTATTAGGTCTGAACTGCTTTATCTTGTGAGTTTTAGTTTTCAGTAATTTCCAAAGGGAGCCTGTTGATAAGCAAATAAACATGATAAAATAAAAGTTTGACAGTGATGTTCTGAAGGAATAACTGTCATCTAAATTTTTCTTATTGCTGATTTTTTTTAACTTCCCTATTTTAGAAAACTATTGTTGGGCTGTTGTTAGTGCTTTCCACAGATGCTGGTCCTCAGCGGATTAGGTCAGAAGCTGACATTCTGATAGTTCTTCATTATTTCACAAAGGTGGACTCCCTGAAAGAGAAAAGGCTGCTTGAAGTCAGCAGAATCTAAACCCCTACATTCAAGCTTTGCCTCCCATTCTCTGGTTGTGGTGGTGGTAAGAAAGAGATATTGGTACCAAGAAAAATTACCAAAACGATTGAGAGAGAGAGAGAGTATTGAAATTTTGTTCTGCCTTGCAGGATTCATTTATCATTCATTGGTAAAGGATGCATTCCTTGTTCTTACCAGGTGTACATTTAATTCTTGCTGACAGTGTTCAGTGTATTTTAGTACTTTTAATGCTGTCTTAAAATGAACATTCTTTAAAGTTGGATGGAAAGGTGGCATTTCTTATTTCTTAACACTTTTAACAGTAAACATATTGTGACTCATCTGGACCTTTTAATAAAATGATCAACTTCACACTTAGAGAAAAATTATAATGTGGGGACTACTTATAATAATTAAGATAGTTACAAGGGATCTGGAAGAAATCCAGTCTTTATGAATATACTGTTAGTTGGGCATTAAAAAAACCAGTATATATTTTAACAACTTTTTTGTCACACAGTAACACATTTTTAGAATAATTATTGCATAGTAGAATTTATTACTCCAGAACAGAAAGACCTTACTTCATTTTAAATGAAGTTCACTAATTAATTTACATTTCCGGGTGAAAACTGTTTTTTGTTTTTGAGATGGAGTCTCACTCTGTTACCCAGGCAGGAATACAGTGGCACAATCTCGGCTTACTGCAACCTCCACCTCCTGGGTTCAAGCGATTCTCCTGCCTCAGCTTCCTGAGTAGCTAGAATTACAGGTGCAGGTCACCACGCCCAGCTAATTTTTGTATTTATTAAAATACAAAATTAGATGGAGTAGAGACGGGTTTTTACCATGTTGGTCAGACGGGTCTCAAACTCCTGACCTCATGATCCTCCCTCCTCGGCCTCCCAAAGTGCTGGGATTACAGGCGTGAGCCACCGCACCCCGCCCAAAACTGGTTATATAAATTAAGTAGAGTCGTTTCTTTATGATAAAGACACGTTTCTGAAAAGTGAACAGTTCTGTTTAAAGAAACTTATTAATATGTAGATTTTGCACTTTATTTCTGAGACCCCTTTCATATAGTTTTCCCCCAACGTTTGAGTACTAAGAGAACTTGAGAAAGTTACTTCATAAATATATGGAAACTGAAAATGGACTCTATCATTGTGACAAAGATATTCAACAGAAAATATTGACCCTGCATTACAAAATACAGACTTGGGTTCCCTAACTCCCACAGTGTAATGATTACAAATATCCTACTGTTCAGTCTAGAAAGACTTTGTAGGGGAAGAATGGTAGAATTCTCTAAAGGTCCAGTTTTAGCTTTTATAACTTACATTTGGTCCTGTTACGTTCTTTTTAATTTGAACCAGTGAGGTGTCTCCCTCCTCTCAGGAATAACTTACTGGAAAATTGAAAAGAATCACTGAATGGAATGTTCATTTTATGGCAGTTACATTTTTTAATTTATTTTTATTTTTTCTCCCCCCCTCAGTTATTTTAAGTTTTAAAATACACAGAGGAAAATATTATGGAAGGACCTCTTTGTCTCTCTCCCTTCTAAGTTCTCTTCTTCTTTGGTCCTTACGTGAAATAAAGACTCTAAAACTAATTTTTATATTATCAGCCAGAGAAGCGGATGGCAGTCGAGCCAAGTCATGTGGCTTTCAGATCAGGTGTTCTGCACATTCATTCCAAGGTCATAGATTTCTAAAAGGACCTGGATTTGAAGAGATGGCAAATGATGAGCCATCTGAAGACTCAATGTGGCAAACATGTATGTAGCCAGTGTGGATATTATGGCCTCTCTTAAGACACATTGACACTGTAGACTTCATTCAGTGCAGTGTGAGTATTTTGGAGTAGGTTGGATGTAGATTTTGTTTTTATTGTTGATTTGTACCAACAGAAATAGACATTTCATCATGTGAAATTCCTGTTATCCTGGGGAAAAAAAAAAAAAACTTGTTTTGATCTTCTTGTTTTCTGACTTGGAAGTATCCTTTCAAAAAGCTCTTAAGATATCTAGGTCTAAAAAGCACTTCATGAGATGCTAAAGCTGACCCACTGGTTGAAAATATTGACCCTATCCTGTTATTTAAATGTGAACATTTATTGTACATTCAGTGAGTTATAGTGTTCATAGTCTTGTGCTATGCAGCAGGTGTAAAAATTAATAAATATTTTTTTTAATAAACAAAATATTTGTTTGTTTTTATGTGTGAAGCTACAAGAGCCATTTTTTTCTTTTAAGAATTGCACCTTCTGGCCGGGTGTGGTGGCTCACGCCTGTAATTCCAGCACTTTGGGAAGCTGAGGCTGGTGGATTACTTGAGGTCAGGAGTTTGAGACCAGCCTGGCCAACATGGTAAAACCCTGCCTCTACTAAAAATACAAAAATTAGCCCAGTGTGATGGTGGACACCTGTAATCTCAGCTACTTGGGAGGCTGAGGCAGGAGAATTGCTTGAACCTGGGAGGCAGAGGTTGCAGTGAGCTGAGATTGCATCATTGCACTCCAGCCTGGGTGACAGAGCAAGACTCAGTCTGAAAAAAAAAAAAAAAAGAATTGCAACTTCTGATTTCCAGTGTGGCATGCAGGAAGCTTGGAAGTGGTTTCCTCCATCTTAGCCATAAGTAAGAAGCTAAGCAAATGTAGAGATTGACATCTCTCCTTAGATCTGTCAGAAAGGTGAGCTCACAGGACAAACTGCTGTTCCCAAAATTGGAAAGACAAACAGGCAAATACAAAGAATCACAGCTTACAGAACAGAAACTGGTGAGAAAAAAACCAAACACAAAAAAACCCATGAGCAATAACCTCTGTGAGAACCAATGTCAGGGTAGGAAAACTTGAACTATATTTGATGCATTGCTACAGGCTCAGTGTGGACACATCTAGGAGACTCAGTCACTGAACAGGGATCAAGGGAGACCCACAATTTTGTGAGTTTAATCCCCAGGAGCTCGACTAGTTTCTTGCAGTGAAATCTGGAGAAAAATCCCCTCATGTTTCCAGCAGAGAAAGGGGAGAAGGAACCATTTTGAAATACTCCAGAACTTTCTGATCTTTCTATTATAATAAGCACCTAAACTGCTGAAGTTATAGAAGAACCTCCCCGGGAGGAAGAGAAATCCCCAGCTCCAGCCCATTCTCACCATCATCCCTCATCTAAAGGGGGATAACTGAGCACTTGTGAAGTTCACAGTCCAGAGGCACAGGCTCACCAGAAGACTGAGACCTCCTTCAGGAATGCAGAATGCTTCCCCTGCCCCAACACCCTACCATCACATTGTTAAAGGTCTACTTACAGAAATTCTCTCTACCTGGTACATCATGACCAGCTACCAAGAAAAACACTACAAGGCATACTAAGAGGCAAAAGACACAGATTTGAAGAATGAGAGCAAACAGACCCAGATTTAGATATGGCTGAGATGTTGGAATTTGCAGACTGGGAATTTAAAACAACTGTGATCAATATGAAAAGGGCTCTACTAGAGAAAGTAGCTAACAAGCAATAACAAACAATGTAAGGAGAGAGGTGGAAACCCTAAGAATGCACTAAAATGCTAGAGATCAAAAATGAAGAGTAGGCTGGGCACGGCTGCTCACACCTATAATCCCAGCACTTTGAGAGGCCGAGGTGGGTGGATAATTTGAGGTCAGGAGTTCAAGACCAGCCTGACCAACATGGTGAAACCCACCTCTATTAAAAATGCAAAAATTAGCCAGGCAGGGTGGCGGGCCCCTGTAATCCCAGCTACTCAGGTGGCTTGAAGCCAGGAGGTGGAGGTTGCAGTGAGCCGAGATTGCACCACTGCACTTCAGTCTGGGCTACAGAGCAAGACTACATCTCATAAATAAATAAATAAATAAAAGACAAAGAGTACCTCTGAGAAGCTAAATAGTAGACTAGACACATCTTAGAAAAGAATCACTGAGCTTGAGGATGTCTCAATAGAAACCTCTAAAACTGAAAGACAAACAGAATATCCAAAAACTGAGATGATGAAGAAAAGGTATTACTATGCCTCATGGGAATACTAGAAGACAGAGAAAGGAACAGAAGAAATATTTGAAGCAATAATGATTGATAATTCTCCCAAATCAATATGGAACATGAAACCACAGATCCAGGAAGCTCAAAGGACACACAGGATAGATGCAGAAAATCCTTCAAAACCAAGAAACAAATGAACAAAAAGTGATGTTTCTTTAGAAACTGTGCAAATCAGGAAAGAGTGGAATGAAATATTTAAATGTTGAGAGAAAAAAATGTGACTAACCTAGAATGCTGTACTCCATGAAATTATCCTCCAAAAGTGAAGTGGAAATTAGGACTTTCTCAGCAAACAAAAATTGAGGGAATTTGTTGCCAGTAGACCTGCCTTGGAAAGAATGTTAAGAGAAGTTTTACAGAGAGAAGGAAAATGATAAAAGTCAGAACCTCAAATCTACATAAAAAATGAGCATTGGGCGGGCGCGGTGGCTCACGCCTGTAATCCCAGCACTTTGGGAGGACGAGGCAGGCGGATCATGAGGTCAGGAGATCGAGACCATCCTGGCCAACACGGTGAAACCTCGTCTCTACTAAAATACAAAAAAATTAGCCAGGCATGGTAGCGCATGCCTGTACTCCCAGCTACTTGGGAGGCTGAGGCAGGAGAATTGCTTGAATCCAGGAGGTGGAGGTTGCAGTGAGCTGAGATTGTGCCACTGCACTCCAGCCTGGTGACAGACTGAGACTTGATCTCAAAAAAAAAAATCATTATTAACTTTAATAACTGAAAGTAAAAGAAGTCTTAATTTTTCTTACTCTTCATTGATTTATTTTTCTGAGACAGGTTTTCACTCTGTCACCCAGGCTGGAGTGCAGTGGTGCAATCACAGCTCAAGGCAACCTCCATTTCCCTGGCTCAAGTGATTCTCCCACCTCAGTCTCCTGAGTAGCTGGGACTACAGGCACATGTCACCACACCTGGTTAATGTTTTGTATTTATTTTAGTAGGATGGAGTTTTGCCATATTTCCCAGGCTAGTCTCGAATTCCTGGGCTCAAGCCCTTCACACACTTCAGTCTCTCAAAGTACTGGGATTACAGGTGTGAGCCACTGTGCCTGGCCTCTTCATTGGTCTAACACATGACAGTTTGTTCAAAATAATAGCAATGATATATTCTATTATATATACTAATATATGTGTCTATGTGTTCATATGTAAGTGAAATGAATGAAGCAATGATATAAGGATGGGAGGAAGGAATTAGGATTATTTTGTTATAAGATATGCACACTATGGCCAGGTGTGGTGGCTCACATCTGTAATCCCAGCACTTTAGGAGGCTGAGGCAGGTGGATCACCTGAGGTCGGGAGTTCAAGACCAGCCTGACCAACATGGAGAAAATGTCTCTACTAAAAATACAAAATTAGCTGGGCATGGTGGTGCATGCCTGTAACCCCAGCTACTTGGGAGGCTGAGGCAGGAGAATTGCCTGAGTCTGGGAGGCAGAGGTTGTGGTAAGCCAAGGTCACTCCATTGCACTCCAGCCTTGGCAACAAGGGCAAAACTTCCTCTCAAAAAAAAAAAAAAAATGCACACTATTGATGAAGTGCGATAGTGTTATGTGAAAATATACTTGCATTAATTGCAAATGTATATTGAAAACTCTACAGCAACCACTGAAAAGTAAAAAAAAAAAAAAGAATTGCTGATATTCTAAGAAAGTAAGGAAAATGGAATCATATAAAATGTTCAATTAGACCCACAGAGTCTGGGTATGGTGGCTCATACCTGTAATCCCAGCATTTTGGGAGGCTGAGGTGAGAGGATCACTTGAAGCCAGGAGTTCAAGACCAGCCTGGACAACGTAGTGAGACTGTCTCTAAGAAAATAAAAATATATATTAGCAGGGCATGGTGACATGTGCCTGTAATCCCAGCTACTTAGGAGGCTGAGCCAAGAAGATTGCTTGAGGCCCAAAGTTTGAGGCTGCAGTAAACTATATTGTGCCACTGCGCTCCAGCCTGGGTGACAGAGTGAGACCCCATCTCAAAAAAAAACGCACAAAAGGCAGAAAAGGAGTGGAAGACATATAGGAACAAAGAACCAGGGAACACATAGAAAACAGGAACAAATATAGTTAATATTAATCCAAATATATCAATAATCACTTTGAACATCAATGTTCCAATGCACTGGTTAAAAGAAATTGTCAGGCTGGATCAAAACATAAGACCCAACTATATGTTGTCTATGAGAAACCCACTTTAAATATAATGACATGTAGGTTAAAAACAAATGGATGGAGAAAGATACACCATGCTAACACTAATCAAAGAAGGTGGAAGTAGCTATATTAATTTCAGACAGCAGACTTCAGACAAGGAAAGTTATCAGGGATAAAGTGGGGGCGTTATGTAATGATAAAGAGGTCAGTTCTCCTAGAGAACATAACCCTTAATGTGTAAGTGCTTAGCAACAGAGCATCAAAACATGTAAGGCAAAAACAGAAGTACAGAGAGAAATGGAGGGGTATTGGTCTCTAACTATAATAGTGGAGTCATCTATCAGAAGTGTACAAATCGAGCAGACAGAAAATCAGTAATGACATTGTTATGCTCAACACCAAAGATCAATAAAAAATAATATCTATCTATAGACTGCTTCTAATAATAGAGTGCATATTGTTATCGAGCACATGGAACACCAACATAGGACACATTCTGGGGCAGAAAACATACTTAAGAAACTTAATAGATATCATAAAATATCTGTTCTTATACCACATGCTATTAAACTAGAAATAATAGAAAAACAGCTGGAAATTCTCAAAATATTTGGTGACTAAACACACTTCTTTATAACACATGAGTCAAAAAAGACATCTCATATTAAAAAATATTTTGGGCCAGACACAGTGGCTCATACTTATAATCCCAACACTCCGGGAGGCTGAGGCAGGAGGATCGCTTGAGCCCAGGAGTTTGAGACCAGGATGGGCAACATGGTGAGACCCTGTCTCTACAAAAAATAATTTTAAAAAATTAGCTGAGCACAGTGGTCTCAGCTACTTGGGAGGCTGAGGTGGGAGGACTGCTTGAGCGTGGGAGGTCAAGGTTTCAGTGAGCTGTGATTGTGCCACTGTACTCAAGCCTGGGTGACATGAGTGAGACTTTGTCTCCAGAAATTTCTTTTTTTAACTTAATGAGAAAGAAACATAAAAATATT